AAATGCACAAATGATTTCGTTTTATAAATATATAAATATAACTGGTTTATTATTTTAAAGAAAAATATAACAATAACAATATTTGGGTAAAATGAAAGTAACAAATAAATATTTTTTCTATCAAAGTTAATTTAAATTTAATGTTTTCACATGGCATCTAAAAACCAAAATTAAAATACTCTATTTTTTTTATTGATGTGTTATTTCTATTGTTTCTTTTTTATTTTGAAACTATTGTGAAAAACAATCTTTTATTATTATAATAATTATTTTTTATTTTTTATTTTTTTTTTGATAAAAAAAGATATGATAAAAAACAAAAAAAAGCAAAACAAAACAAAATAAAACAAAATATTTAATCGAAATGAAATTGAATATGAGAAAATATAAGAAAAGTATGCATGTAGAATTCACCTACAATTTTTTATTTATCTATTGTAACTTAAATTATGTGGAGTGGTATTATTCTTTGTGTGTTAATGGTGTGGGTGGTCAATTATTAAAAAATATTATTATTATTATTACTATTATTATTATTATTATTATTGTTATTATTATTATTATTATGTTTACTAGATTGTTGCTATAGTTGGGACAAAAAATATTTCACCATTCATATTTTTAGAAAAAATGATTAGTGAATAAAATGTTTAACAATTCTATTAATACTTTTAAAAAACAAAAATAAAAAGAAATAGATTTTGTCTTTTTTGGTTATAATTATAATTTTGCTAAGTGTCCCTATAGAGAATACTTTTTGCAATTTAAAAATTTTAATTTATTCTATACATTTTATTTTAAATTTTTTTTTTTTTTTTTTTTTTTTTTTTTTTTTTGGGGTTTGGAACTTGGTTTTTTTTGCTATTGTTATTTACCAAAAAAATAAATATTTATACCTTTCCCTTATTAGTATTATTTATTTTTAAATAATAAAAGTTAACTTTTTTCCTTTATCTTTTTAAGCTTTTTCCTTCAAATTTTAAAAGTTATTTTGTTTTTTGTTTTTTTTTTTTTTTTTTTTTTTAAGTTTATTATTTGGGGAAAAAAAATTTATTTTAAAAGAATGGCCTCCCCTTAAAAATTTCCTGCCCCGTTTTTCCCTTTACCCCTTAAATTCTTATACCCCATTATCTCTGTAATCCCTGAATCTACTTCAATGTGAAGCATTTTCAATTTTTCTTTATCTGATTCATTTTTGTTGATTCTAAATTCTAAATAAAAAGTAAATAGTTAGTAACACTATAAAATAATCAAAGTGTATGATATTAAAAATATTTATAAGTGAATACAATAGTTTTTTTAACTTTATTCTATTATTATACATACCTTCCTTTACTGTGGTTATTAATCTAAAACGTGACTTGGATGGATAGTTTGGTAAGTTTCTGATTAAAAATCTATATTTATGTAAGATTGGGTTTGGTGTTGTCATTTTATTATCTTATTCTTTGTATTTAACCCAAATTTAAAAAAAAAAAAAAACTAAAATGAAAATGAAAAAAAAAAAAAAAATAAAAATTTTAAATTTTAAAAAAAATAAAAAAATAAAAAATAAAAAATAAAATTAAATAAGGAAAATAATTATAATTTTAGTAAATTTAAATTAAATAGAGGTCAAGTTTGATATCTTCTATTCATCCCAGTTCAAAAAAGGCCGTCAAGAATAGTTAAAAAAAACAAAAGGGTGTTTTGAATGATATTTGGTTGTTGCGTTTTGCCAAGGTAGATTGTGATACTCTAGGTTATTATTAACATAGGATATCAGGAAGAGTTTATTTGTTTCATGATGCACCCATTCGGACACATCAATCCACGGGGTGGGCGGTTAGTGACGATTAGATCACAAACCATTTCTTCCTTGGCGGTCTCTTCTTATTAATAGTGTGGTAATCTCTTAATAATTTTTTATTGTTACCAAGAGAGCTTTCACTATTAACTAATTCTGGTAGTTCAAATTTTTTAGAAATTTTAATTAAAAATGCGAGATTTATTATATAAATTATACAAAGAATTGCAATAACCTCCATGAACCAATATCAATCAATACACCTTCTGTAACAATATATTTGTATAATGATTTTAAAAATTAAATTAAAAATTTAATAAAATTAAGTTTTGGGATAAATACAAAAAAAAAAGGTATTTTTTTAAGAAAGGTTTGATTAAAAAGAGTGGTTTAAATAAATAAATTTGTTAAAAAAAGTAGAATCAACACACCACAATTCATTAAAAAAAAAATAAAAAAATATAACCACAGATATTTAGTTTTTAAAAAATTTAAAAAAAAAAAAAAAAAAAAAAAGTGAAATAAATTGTTTTATTTTTATTTTTTTTTGAAAAAGTAATAATCAAAATATAAATATAAAATATAGTTAAAATGATAATTATAAAATAAAAATAACAAAACTAAATTAGACACAAACACAAAAATTAAAAATAAAATATTTTAAAAAAATAAAAATTAAAAAAATTTTTATTTTATTTTTTTTAAAAAACGAAAAAAACGATTTATTTTTTTCTATTTTTTTTTTTTATTTTTCTATTTTGCTGTTAACACTTAAAACGAATAAAAGTAATAAATGGATAGCAAGTCATTATTTGTTATTAAACAATTTTTAAGTAATAATAAAAACTTATCCAAGGTTTTAGATTCCTTCAATGCCAATACCAAATCAGCAAAAATTGAAGAGGATAAAGACCTCCCATCATTAGATAAAATAATTGAATTTTATTTAAATGAAAAGTAAATATTAAAAAATAAAATTATAATAATAATAATAATAATAAATTTTTAAATATTAATATTTATTTTTTTATTTACAGCAAAGATAAAAACAACAAAAAAAGAACTTTAGAAGAAAAAGAAGAAAACCCAAGTAAAAAATTAAAAGTTGAATCAGATAGCAGCGATTCATCAGACAGTGACTCATCAGATAGCAGCGACTCATCAGATAGCGAATCAGAAGATGAAAAGAAAGTAGAAACTAAAAAAGCCAAATCAGATAGCAGCGATTCAGACAGTGATTCATCAGATAGTGAATCAGAAGATGAAAAGAAAGTAGAAACTAAAAAAGTCGAATCAGATAGCAGCGATTCATCAGATAGCGAATCAGAAGATGAAAAGAAAAAGGTAGCTAAAAAAGTCGAATCAGATAGCAGCGATTCATCAGATAGTGATTCATCAGATAGTGAATCAGAAGATGAAAAGAAAGTAGAAACTAAAAAAGCCAAATCAGATAGCAGCGATTCATCAGATAGTGATTCATCGGATAGCGAGTCAGAAGATGAAAAAAAGAAAGTAGAAACCAAAGTTGAAGCTAAAAAAGTCGAATCAGATAGCAGCGACTCATCAGATAGTGATTCATCAGAAAGTGAATCAGAAGACGAAAAAAAAGTAACCAAAGTTGAAGCTAAAAAAGAAAAAGATTCCGATAAAGATACTTCTGATTCATCATCATCTGACTCCTCAGATAGTGACTCATCAGACAGCGAATCTGAAAAGGAAGAAGAAAAAAAAGTTACCAAACCTGAAGTTACTAAAAAAGAACCAACATCAGACTCTTCAACATCAGAATCAGACTCCTCAGATAGTGATTCATCAGATAGCGAATCTGAAAAGGAAAAAGAAAAAAAAGTTACTAAAAAAGAATCAGAATCAGAATCATCATCATCAGACAGCGATTCATCATCATCAGATAGCGATTCAGATGACGAAAAAGAATCTAAAAAAGAAAAAGAATCTAAAAAATCAGAAGAAAAGAAATCGGATGAAGATAGCGATGATGAAATGAAAATTGTAGAAGAAAAACCTGTAAATAAGATCAATAACAAATTTAATAATAATAATAACAATAAATTTAACAATAACAACAACAACAATTACAACAACAACAACAACAACAACAATAAATTCAATAACACCGGAGCAGTTAAAAAACAAAATACACCATTCCGTAGAGTTAGAGAAGAAGATGTTACATTGGATAAACATATGACAAGTGACGGAGCCAATAGAGAATGGTCCGATTTATGGGGTGATAAAGTCCAAAACCATTTAAAAAAGAAAATTGGTGAAAGTTTCCGTAAAGGTAAAAACAAGATGAAGAAAGGTACCTATTCAAACTCTACCATCCATACTGAATCAAGTTGTTACATATATCCATCTGACGATGAATAAACAACCATACAAAACCATTTAAAAAAAAAAAAAAAAAAAAAAGAAAATAAAGCAAAAAAAAATTATATATAAATTAAATATTCTTGTATTCTTTTTAATATTTGTTTAAATTTATTTTATTTTATTTTATTTCATTCCCTTTCGTTTAATTGTATATAATATTATAGTTCATCTTTCTTTTTCTTAAATTTTTTTGACACTAATTTTAAGCTATTTAAAAATACATCCTCTAAATAATGTTCTTTTTCTACTTTTTTATAAAATTTTTGTTTAATAACGTCGTCTAATGAGTGTTTCTAAGAAATGATGTGTTAGTTTGTAAAATTTAATAGTGATGATTTACCATTGGCAAGTTGAGAACCACGGGCTTTAAAGTGATCACCGACACTGGTATGTTGTGGACCATCTTCTTGACTATTTATTTGAATTGTTATTTGAATTATTTTCAAAAAATAGAGAATTAATATTTTGTTTTTTATCACTTTATTTTTTATTAATATATTAATATATTTTTTAATATATTTTTTTTATTTATTTTTTTAAATTAAAACTTAACTTACGTTTCTCTTAAATTTAATAATTGTTGAACACCAACATTGATACCATATAATGAAACTAAAGAGGCATTAAAAATTAAAATGTAGGTTTCTGGGGTAACAGCTTTGAATAATTTGCCAATCATTTTTATATTTATATTTATTAATTTATTTATTTATAAAATTAAAATTATTTATTATTTATTATTTATTTATTTGTATTTATTGTTTTTGTTTTGAATGATAATAAATATTTTTTTTTACTCTTTTATAGTTTTCCAAAAATTAATTATAATCTTTTTGATATATCAAAAATCATTTTTCCATATTTTTTATATAGAGGATTATTTTAATATAAAAACTATCAAAATGATTTTTTTCGCATATTTTCAAAAGACTTTAAAAAAAAAAGCAATTCAAAAAAAAAATCTTTAAAAATTTTTGGTGCGTGGATTTCAAAAATATTTTTTAATTTTGATAGAATCCCAAATTTTTTTTTTTTTTTTTCAATTAACCGAATATTAAAATTATTATCAACTTAATATTATTAAAAAAAAAAAAATTTCTTTTGAATTTCTAAATAATTTTTTTATTAAAATTCAAATGTAATTCGTTATTATTATTAAAAAAAAAAAAAAAAAAAATTTTTTGGCTGGTTTAAAAAAAAATATTTATTAATAAATTTTAATATGGGGCAAAACAAAAAATAATCAAACGATTTTTTATAATAATAAAAAAAAAAAAAAAACAATAAAATAAAAAGATATTATTTACAGTATAGTGTATTATAGTAAATTTAAATTCATACCAATTAGTTTTGTATTGTTTTTTTTTTTGAAATATTAATGGGTGAAATTAATTATTTTTAAATTTAATTTATTTTTTTGATTTCTTTTTGTGTAAATTCTTTGGTTTATCAGATTTTGATGAGGATTGAGATGGTTGGGCTGGTTGGGCTTTAGTTGATTCTTTAACAAAGAGTGAGGCTGTTTGAGAGGCAGATGCTAAACCTTGTGGACCTTTAACGACATCTTTAGCATTTTTCTTTCTTGAGGCTTTGGCATTAGCTCTTTGCCATTTTGGTAACCAACGGTCTGGGTCTGGGGTATAGTTGGCAACAATATTCTTTGGTAATTTATTCTTTGATTTTTTAATTTCGACAAGAGTACCATCACCAAGTTTAATTGGGGCTTTGTTTGATTTCTTTTCGACGACAGCAGAGGCAGAGGCATCAGATGATTCGTTTGTTTTCTTTTCATAAGCTAAACCATATTTTTCTACTGAATCCAAATCGATCTTGCTTTCAAATTTAATGTTTGGAAGTTTACCTTGATATTTTTGTGAAAGAGAGGCATCAAAGTGTGAAGTGGCAACAATGTATGATGGAAGAGCTAAGAGATCATTTGGATTGATCTTTAATACTCTATCAAACATTTCAGCGGCTTCTTTGTATTTGTGATGTTTTAATTTGAAATTACCGCAAGCTTTAAGAAGACCAACATAGCTTTCATCTTCTTGTTCGGTTCTCTTTGATTTTGATTCTAATTGTGAGATTAAGGTATCTAAACAAGCGATGGCCTTATCAAGGTTACCAGATTTTTCATAGAGGGCACATTTGGTAGCAATAATACCTGGTTTATTTGAAACGGTTTCATCTAATTGTTCTAAAACACCAAGAGCCTTGACAACATTGTTATCCAATAAGTAAACTTGAGCTAAAAGTAATTGACTCTTAAGAGATGATGCACTGTGTCCTTTTAAGAGTTTTTCAACTTCACCGTATTTCTTTTCTCTAATTAAAAGAGTAGAGTTAATGATATCAAGATCTTCAAGTGATGAGTTTTGGGCACCTTTGAATTTGTTTTTAATTGATTTAATGAGTTCTTCGCATTGACCAATTTTCTTTAATTGTAATAATAATAAACAGATATTGTAATTGAATACTCTCTTTTGTTTACCATTAAGACGTGATTCATTTGATTCACTTAATAACGATCTTAAAGTTTCTAAAGCAGTGGTTAATTCTTTAGTTTCATGGGTCTTGCTAGAGTTGATACTAATTGAAGTTTTGTTGTTAGCAGCAATTAAACTTGGACCATCACCAACCTCTTGATCTAAAACACTTTGATATAATTCTAAAGATTTTTCAAAATTACCATTAATTTGTTGACAATAGGCTAATTGAGTATCAATTGATGTTTGTTCTTCTTTGATTTCTTCTTCAGAAAAACCATCTTGTTTTAATGAATCAGTGCAAACCTCTATAGTAAATAGTAAAATATTTGTTAATTATTATTATAATTATTATTATAATAAATAGTAATCTTTTATATAATGATACAAACTTTTAGCTAATTTTAATTGGGTTTCAGCAGTTTTAATATCTTTTTTGGCAATTGCTAAACAGGCAGAGTTAAAAGCTAATTCATAAGTTTTAGTTTGTTGACCTTTATTTTTATTTATTAAATCTTGACATTCATTTAATTTACCAGCTTCTAAATAAACTGCACAAAGATTGGTAATGAATTCGACAGAATCTGAATATTCTGGTTTTGATAATAAACTTTCATAAATTGAAATGGTTTTTGAATAGTCTTCTAATTTATAATGCTATATGGTAAAAATATTAATATCATAATCTATTACATAATATACAGATTGATTATTATTGTTATTATATAATTACAATTTGAGCTTCAAGTTCTAATGATCTGTTATCTTTTTGTGACTTTTCTAATTGTTTTAATGATTCTTGGTATTTGTTAAGTGCATAGAGACAATATGAATATTCGAAACTCATAGATTCGATTTGTTTTGATTTTTTAAAACAATCAATTGCTTCTTGAAAATTTGAAAGTTGCATTAAACAAATAACTTTGCATTGAAAAGCTTGAACATTTCCTGCTTCAATACCTAAGACTAAAATAATATTTATATAAATTTATGGTTAGTGATTGTGATCGATGGTGGTGTTAAAAAAAGACTAAAAACTGATTCATGAAATTGTTATTTACTTTTGTTACAAACACGAATTGCTTTCTTGAATGATGATTTTGAAATATATTCATCTAATTCTTCAAATAAAGTTGGAATAGAATCCATCTTTTTTATTTATTTATTTATGTTTTTATTTGTAATTTAAAAAATAAAAAAATGGAGAAATGAAAAAAAAAATTAAAAAAATATTTTTAAAAAAAAAATTAAAAAAAAATATAAAATTTGTGAATTATTTATTTTTTTAATTATTATTGATCATTTTTATCCAATTTAATTATATTTATATAAAATAAAAAACTTTATTAAAATTTAGTTAATTGTTTTTTTTTTATTTCTCTTCTTATTCTTTTTTTTTTTTTCTATTTTTTTTTTATTTTTATTTTTTTATTTTTATTTTTTAATTTTTAAAAAAATTTTGATTATTTTTTAATTTTTTTTTTAATTTTTTCAATTATTACAGATTATTTTATTTTATTGCATAAACAAAAAAGAAAGAAAGAAAATGAGTACAAATTCATGTTCATTACCAAGAATGGTTTCATTAGATTGGAGAATGGATATCAAAACCTCATCTGATGTTATGTCAAGAATGAACGTACCAAGTGTTTTATTTAAATTAGAAGTAAGTAATTGAATATTAGTTTGGCATATATATCACATCGCACCAAGCAAATAATATTAATTATAATATTATTATTGTTTTTAATAGGTCGAAGATAAAAATACAGATAAAAAATTAAATCAAGAAGAAGACGATGACGAAAAAAAAACCAAAACTGTTATTTTTGAATTAAATAAAGAAACTATTAATACAATGTTAGAAAGTTTAGAATTTGTCAAAAATCAATTAGATTCAATTAAATAATAGTAATAAAACAAAAAAAACAGCAACAACAGAAAGATGCGCATATGGTCCGATTAAAAAAAATAAATAAAATTTGTATATAATATTTTAAAAAAATTTAGCATATTCTTTATTTATTTACAATTATATTTTAGATTTAGGGCAATTGGATTTGTGAATTGTTATTTTAATATTATTATTATTATCAATATTATAGTTTTTATGTTATTATTTATTTTATTTAAAAATATTACACTTGTAAAATATTATTAGTTTTTTTTTGTTTTCTTTTGTTTTCTTTTATTTTCTTCATCATTTTCATCACTATCTTGGGATACAGTTTTGTGGTCTTTTTCATCCAAATCAAACTCCATATCTTCGACCAGATCACTATTACTCTTTTCGATTATTATTGTAGATTCAGTTGGTGTAGAGGTGGGAGTATCAGAACTGGTGGAAGTGGAGGTGGTGGTGGTGGTGGTAATGGTTGTTTTGGTTGGTGTTGATTGAATGGTTGTTTTGGTTGTTGTGTTGGAACTCCCTTTATTATTTTCTTTATTTGAGTTAACTTCATTTTCAATATCTTCGATTGAAATTTCTTTATTTACCATTGCTAAAATATTTAATGATTTTAGTGCTTGAACTGGTTTATCAAAATCTGATGGTATAGTTTCTCTATTCCAATATGTCAAATCATTAAATTTCGAAATGGCTTCCCATTGCTTATTTACAGGTGCTGAATCGTGCTCTTTATTATCAACATGATCATTGTCTTCTATTGAATCTTGATTTTCATCTCTAAAAATATAACCTTGAAAACCTTCTGGTACTTCTAATTTTTCACCAACTAATTTAACACCTCTAAATGCTGAATATAAATGAGTTTCTAAAATAAAGTATTAGTATTTAATTTTTTCAATTTTTAAATTATGATGATGATGATGATCATTACTATTACCAATAGAGCTTTGCTTTTCACTAACTTTTAAATAGTTGGAAACTCTTGCAAAACCATTATATAAAAGATTGAAGGGTAAATGCTGTATATTTGTTTCCTCTATGGATGGATCATTTTTATTAAATTTTATTATTATATTATGTTTATTTAAAGCCATTGCCAAATATTCCCCACCCAAAATGTTCTTTTGTTTTTTTAAAAATAATAAATTTATAATTTTAAAATAATTTAAAAAAATGAAAAAAATTATTTTTTAATTTTTTTTTAATTTTTTTAATTTTTTTAAATAACCACCGCTCTAATTAAAATTTCATCGCCTTTTATATATTCACTCATATGTAATAAGAAAGAATAGTATTATTATTATTGTTATTATCAAGTACTTTACGTAGACACACATAAACAAAGTTTAATTTCTAAAACATGGATCGACCTACAGAAGAAGCTGCTATGGTAAATATATCTTTTACTTTTAAAAGCTGCACTATTTATTTATTAAATTTATTAAATAATTTAAAATTAATAATATTTAGATTCAAAAATCAATAGAAAAATGCTTTACATTATATTTGACAAGAGCAGAAATTATGTTGGCATTACAAAATCAATTTAATGTTAATCCAGAATTTTCAGAGAATTTATTAAACAATGTTGAACATAATAATCCAGATTTTTTTAAAGTTTATTATCAAAGATTAAGAATAAAACAACAAATTCAAGATTTTAATAGGCTCTCAAGTTTAATTATAAAGAATTCAAATGGGGCTTTGTTCAATACAACATCAAAAATATCAACCTCAAATAATATGAGTATGTCATTAAACATTGATACAGATTTCTCTTCATTACAAAACTATGTATCATCACCTATACAAGATACATCAACACTTGATATGAGTGTTGCCTCATCAACTAATAGTGCCACAACATCAACTCCATCATCAAATACTTCAGACCCACTTTTTACAACTTTACCTGCTACCAATATGAATACACCTACTGATAATAATGGATTAACAAATCATGATATATTACAAAATCTAATGGCACAACTTCAACAAAATAACAATGATAAAACCTCATTTGCCTCTCTTACAAACAATACACTATCTTTAAATACAAATACCCTCAATTTAAATAATATAAACAATATAAATAATATAAATAAAATAGGGGGTGACAACAATGTAAACAATATTAACTCAGCAACAAAAACTACAACTACAACAACCAATATAGGAACAGCCTCTAACAATTCTACAGCAATAGCGAACCAAGTTGAGGAAACATCATATATTTCCACAACTACACAAAACTCTTCAAACCCAACAACAGAATATTTAATATATGATACCACAACAAGCAATAGTACTAGCAACACCAACTCCGATACATCCTCAACAAACAACAATAACAACATTAATAATAATTCATCACCAACTACATTTGCAAGCTTTATGGACCATATACCTAATTTAAACAATATGGATATAAATTTTAATTTTACCCACTCATCAAACAAAATTCCAATCCCAAGTTTAAATCAAAGTTGTGATTTCGATTCATTTTTAAATTTAAAACAAGAATAAAAATATTGTATTTTATTATTTAAAAACTAATATTTAGTTTAATATTATTTATTTTATTTAATTTTGATTATTTTATTATATTATATTTTATTTAATTATTTATTTATTTATTTTAAAGCTTTATTACTATTTACAAAAAAATATTATTACTATTATAGTTGTAATTATATTTAAAATTCTATTCTTTCATTGAACTATGAATTTCTTCTTCATCATGTTCTATTTCTTCATCGTCGTCATTTTCTATTTCTTCATCTTCATCATCGCTAATTTTTTCTCCCAATAAAAATCTATCTTGTTCACTTCTACTGAACATTGTAATTTCTTTATTAAATACTTTAATTGCTGCTTTATGACAATTTCTAATACTACCACCAACATGGATAACTCTAAAATAGACTGGTACATCATAGTATGATGTAATTAATGAAAATGCAGTCCATAATGATTTGTAATATTCAAATGAGACTCTTATAATAAATAAATTTGTATCTGGGTTAACATATATGACTAAATTATAAAATAGAGGTTAATATACTATGTATATGGTTATTAAAAGTTGATGTATATGTGGGGAATATATTTTATGGGGGTATACTACATTTTAAATTCTTTTTAAATGACTCATATGTTAATTCCCCCACTGAAGTTTTGATTTCGTTTGAAATAAATTGAAATAACCATGATTCTGATAGAGGTGTCCTTTTATTTTGATCATACCAAACCACCTCTGTCATTAAATATCTATTCTTTAATCTAACCATTTATTGCACTATGTATAATCTCGTTTTCTTTTCTTTGATTAATATTAACTATCTATGATTTTCTGAATATTTTAATAAAATTTCAATTCGTAAAAAATAAAAAAAAAAATTAAAAATAAAAATCATTTTTTTTTTTTTTTTTTTTTTTTATATTTTATTTTTTCACTCCTTCAATCATAAATCTTTTTTTTTATTTTTATGTCCGATAATAATAATATCATTATCAATAATAAAGATGATCATAATTCTTCAGATGATGAAGATTTTGGATTGGTAGGGTTAATCGTTGAAGAGTTAGAAACATATAAATATAAATTTTATGACGATATTAAAATTGAAATAAAAGGACAAGAGTATATTTTCGAACATCCCTATAATTTATAATTTTAATTAAAATAATACTAAATTAATTTATTTACCATTATTTTTTTTTTTTTTTTAGATTACAAAATGTAAATGTTCAACCATCAACAGGATTATTACCCTGGCCAGCTAGCAGAATTTTGTCACAATTTATTTCAAAATATAATGATCAATTTAAAAATAAAAATGTTGTAGAATTAGGCAGTGGTGTTGGGTTATGTGGATTGGTTTCTTCAAAATACTCAAACTTTACATTATTCACTGATGGTGACGAGAAATCTTTGCCATTACTTCAAGACAATGTCGAGGCAAATAAAGATTTATATAAAGACAGCAAAAACAAACCAAACGTAGAAAGATTATTTTGGGGTAAAACCGATACATTGGAAAAATTTAAAGAACAATATCAATCGAAATTCGAATTTGATATTGTAATAGGTTCAGATTTAATTTATGTGGATGATTCAATCGAACCTTTATTTTATACAGTCGATTCAATTTTAAGCAAATCTCAATCCAATAGTCCTACATTTTATTTATCATTTTTAGATCGTAAAAATCATCTACCAGTTTTAAAATCAGTTTCTCAAAAATATAATTTTACTGTAAATATAATATATTATATAAATAAAAATTATTTAAATAATTTTATTAACCATAAATTAAATTAATATTTAGATGGAATCAATCGAATTAAATTTTTTAAATTACGAGCCATCAACAATGTCAAAAATGTTTATTTTTAAAAGAATATATAACTAAATAAATTAAATAAAATTAAATTAAATAAATATATTTGTTTTTAAATTAAAAATAAATAAGAGAATAAATAAAATACTTTTTTTTTTTTTGATTTTTTTTTTTTATATCTTTACAATTTATAAATTAAAATTCTATTTTTATTGTTTTAAATAATTTAATGGAATTTTGATATATGAAATACCATTATCTTCTTTTGGTGGTAATTCACCAGCACGAATATTAACTTGGATAGATGGTAAAAGTAATTGTGGAGCCTTGAGAGTTGCATCACGTTCAGTTCTCATTTTAATGAATTCTTCTTTTGAAACTGAATCTTTAATGTGTTTGTTTGTTTTTCTTTGTTCACCAATAGTTGTTTCGAAAGTAATGGTTCTACCAGCTGGTGGATAGTCGTGACAAACATAAACTTTAACATCCTCTGGTAAAGCTAAAATCTTTTTCATTGAATTGTAGAGGGTCTCTGCAGAACCATTTGGGAAATCGCAACGAGCAGTACCAACATCTGGTAAAAACATAGTGTCACCTACGAAAACACAATCATTTTCTACATAATAACTAACACATGCTGGAGTGTGACCTGGTGTAGCAATTACTTTAACATTGAGGGTTCCAACTTTAAAATCTTCACCATCTTTAAAGAGATGGTCAAATTGACTACCATCGACTGGGAATGAGTGTTCGAGATTATAAATTGTTTTGAATGTTTTTTGAACTACCTTGGCACCCTCACCAATAGCAGTTTTAGCTTGTGGATAAATTGATTTTAAATAGTGGGCACCTGACAAATGATCGGCATGTATATGTGATTCTAAAATCCATTCTGGTTCTAATTGGTTCTCTTTAATATATTTAACTATTTTATCAGCATCAGTAGTTGAGGTTTTTCCACTTGCTTGAGCATAATTTAATACTGAATCTAAAATTGCACACTTTTTAGTACTTTCGTCGATAATCAATACTTGGCCAGTGGCAGATTCGAGTTCTGGAAAGATTTCAATCTTTGCTTTGTTCATTTTCTTATTATTATTATTATTATTTACAGTTGTTGAAAAATATTTTGATGAATTATTTATAATATTATTACGATTACTATTTAAAACAGTGGTTATTTTATTTATATTTTTAATTTGTAATTTATTAAATATAAAATTCATTCTAAAAAAATAAAAACTTTTTGTTTTCAAAAAAAAAAAAAAAAAAAAAAAAAAAAAAAAAATCAATAATTTTAATTAAAAAAAAAATAAAATTTTTAAAAAATAATTTTTTTTTTATTTAAAATGGTTATTTTTTTACCTTTTCCATTAAATTTCGTTTGTTTCGTTGCTCTTTTCAAAATTAACGAATAGTAAAATTGAATTTGGAATTTGGAATTTGATTCTATTAAAAAGCACTTTTTAATTTTTAAACAAAAAAGATAAATTTTTAGTTTTCAAAATAATCAAAAATGTGCCTCTTTAAATAATTTTTTATAAACACCAGTTAAATGAAAATAATCTTCATAATTTAAATTGATAGATTTTTCGATTTTTCATGTAGTAATTCATCCAAAAGTAATTATTAAAAAAACTTAATAAATGAACAAATAAAAATAAATAAAACTAAGTTATTTCTTATAAAAACACAAAATAATTATTTTTCCTATATTTCTAAAAAAAAAATAAGTGTTTTTATTTTTTTAATTTTTTTTTTTTTTTTAAATTAATTTTTTTAAAAAAAAGTTTTCATAATATTTTAAATAATAATAATTTATATATCATGAAATCTGATAATATAAAAAGTGATTTATTAAAAAAAGCAATATATTTTATACCCTTTTGGTTTATTTCAATAGTTTTTTGTTTTATTTCCTATGATGTCTTTTTTATTAAAGAATATGTAAATGGTAAATTAAACAAAACATATTATGTTTCAAAGTATCATGATGACTTTGAAAAGAATACGGAAATGTTTGATTTCAACAACTCATTCACACTATTTCAAATGTTTCCTCTGGTATTTGTAAGTAATAAATAACCATACTATTCATTACTTTTATTTTATTTACTAACCTTTTTTTTATTTAAAACTAGTTAACCCTCATTCCTATATTAGCATATGCATATATGGTATCCTCAATACTAAGGGTCCATTTCGTTAAAAATGCACTAACAATGGTTGGCATGGCATTTACAATGATAATTTCTCTTTTTTTAATCGTATCATTAGGTTTATTTAAATACAGGTAAGTAAAAAAAAAAAAAAGAACCAAATAACAAAGTTCAATTTCTAACCGGTCCTTTTTTATTACAATATAGTTTAAAACCATCGCTATGTAAAGATATAGAAAATGGGTTTTTAGATATTTATCACAGCAATATAAACGAAACCAAACATATTTGTGGCGAAGATTTTAATTTTTTTAAAGGAAGTTATGAAATTCAAAAGGGTTTAAAAAAAACTATCAAATTAGAATGGGGTGTAGAAGTCGAATGGTTTTTAATTATTGCACCAATTATCCTATCATTTATTATGTTAATAATTATGGTCACATTATTAATTCGAAATAAATACATTAAAGACTCCAACAACTCACTCTATACTGCAATACCCAATAATGGAGGTATTTATGAAAAAGAAGAAAAGTCCAAAGATCTCTCTGATGAAATGGATTTGTTTTGGGGTAGAGATGATTGGTATGATTATACCAAAGATTCATATCCATTCGCTTTGGTTTTGTTTGCACAAATTTTATACATCCTGTCAATTGTTTTAATATCAATTTATAAATTTTCATATTATTTATTGGTATTTATTTGTTTATTAAAATTTTAAAATATATTTTTGATTTGCTAATTTTTTTATTATTTTATCTTAGCCATTTTTTGGATTATTATTTATAATGCTAGGGTCATATTACTTTTTATTATTTTATGGTATTAGAGATAACTATTTAATTAAAACTATGAAACAAGAAGGTGATATAGCTCAATTTTTAGATAAGTTAAAGAAAAAAACGCCAATGGTTGCTGCATTTTCAACTATGTTTATCAATAACAAAGTAGTCAAAAGTTTAGAACCCAAAAAAATCACTGAATGGCATGACTTTTCGGATGCTATTAAAATAGATTCAAAGAAACCAATCATTGAAATTAAAATTGACGAAGAGTATGAAATTATTAAAAAAGTTCCTTCAAAAAATAACTTAACCACCTATGGTGATAATAATAATAACAATAGCATAAATTCAGTCGAAACAATACCACCTCCACCAGTCCAAGTAAAAACCAAATTAGATAACTATTTTTTTATTAAAACAGATTTACCAAACTATTATATCTACACAAACAATAACAATAGAGTCTCAATCAACAGAACCTTACATGGTTTATTTGTGTTATTAGGCTTTTCTTTTATTTATAAGTTTATTTATTTAAATAGATTAATCGAAAAAAAGAATTATGTTAGCAAAACAAAATTTAGATAACCTCAACACATGTGTGTTAATTTGTAAATAAAAACCATTTTTTAAAAATATTTGTACATTCAAAAAATAAATTTTTTTTTTTTTTTTCGTTATAATACATTTTATTTTTATTTAAATTTTTGAGCTATAATCAATGTATTCAAATTATTTCTTTTTAAAAAAAATATTTTTTCTATGGATAAAGATTTTTTTTGTTTTTTTTTTTTGTTTTTTTTTTTGATTTTAGATTTGTTATATTATTAGTCTTTTAATTTATTGTTGTATAGTTTTATTGAATTTAAGATGATGGTGATCTGGATCTTGATCTACTTGCTCTTTCTCTCAAAACTGGAGAATGACCGTCAGCACCACCAGCATCGCCTGATGGTCTTTCTTTTGATTCTGAAGACTCTCTCTTCTTTTCTTTTCTATCTTTTGATCTTGAACGTGATCTATCTCTTGATCTGTCTCTTGAACGATCTTTTGAACGATCTCTACTAAAGTCTCTTCTTCTTTCTCTTGATCTATCTCTTGATCTGTCTCTTGATCTATCTCTTGAACGATCTCTACTGAAATCTCTTCTTCTTTCTCTTGATCTATCTCTTGATCTATCTCTTCTATCTCTTGAACGATCTCTTGATCTATCTCTTGAACGGTCTCTATCTCTTCTGTCTCTTCTATCTCTATAGCCTCTTGAACGTGATCTATCTCTTGATCTATCTCTTGAACGATCTCTATCTCTTCTGTCCCTTCTATCTCTTCTATCTCTTGATCTATCACGTGATCTATCTCTTGAACGATCCCAAGATGGCGATCTATATCTTCTTGATGATTTTCTATCTCTTGAACGTGAACGACTGATCGATCTGTCTCTTGATCTTTTATTTTTATTGCTATTTGGGCAATTTTTTATCCAATGACCTTCTTGACCACAGGCAAAACATTTATTGTTATCGGCTAAATAAAATGAAATAAATTGTTAGCTTGAATAATTTAAAGTTTTTTTTTTTTTTTTTTTTTTTTTAAAAATTTTTTTTTTATTTAATAATTTATGGTAAAAAAGACTGTGTTGGAGAGAGGGACAAAACAAGACAAAGGAATGGAGTGGGGAAATTTTTAGATAAAAATTAGAGAGGTAGTGAGCACAACAACAATAACACATTAAATCGATCGTCAAATGGTGGAGAGAGAGAGTAAGATGAGGAAGAGGTCAAAGCAAAGATAGGGGGTACACAGTAGTAGTAACACATGTGTAGAGAGAGAAGAGAATGTATCGATCGTGGAATTTTAAGGGCAAGCTTTTTTTTTATCTCTGCGCTCTTTTAATCTTCTTTTTTTAAAAAAAAGAAAGAAAGATTGCCGTTTAGCGGTGCCCGAGAAGATAGCTCGGCATAAGTAAAGCAACAGTCGCTACTCTAAGGGTATAAGCAAAGTAAATAAGCTGAACCCATAGAGCAGAGATATTAAACTAGGGCTAACCGAAAATCGATCAATTTTTTTTTAAAAAAAAAAGAGAAAGATAATGCAAAAAAAATAATAAAGAATGAAAAAAAATTTACATCTAAATTATTTTTTTACACGAAGCATCAGAGAAAAGAGGCCAAGTTGCAAATATTGTTTTTTTTTCAAAGAATTAAAAAATATATTTAGAAGCTCTCGGATATGTGTTTAGTTAAATAAATATTTAACTGAATAAGCAACCTTTAAAATTTTTTTTTTTTAAAAAAAAAAAAAAAAAAAATTTCTAAACACCACAAAAACCATTCTTAACAATAAAGATAGATTAAGATAAAAAAAGAAAAAGAAAAGAAGGAATGGCAATTATATATAATATTTATAGGAAAAAAAAAATTTTTTCCCCCTAAAAAACCCCCCCCTAAAAAAAAAAAAAAAAAAAAGAAAAGCTGGGGTTATATTATTATTTGATATTTTTAAATCTTCCTTTTTTTTTCTTTTTTCTTTTTTCTTTTTTCTTTTTTTTTTTTTTTTTTTTTTTTTTTTTACCAAAGATAAATAAGTAAAATAAATATTATACATACCATTTTTACCTCCCTTGGCCCATTCAACAGAAATCTTGCTATTTAATAAAGTTGTACCATTTAATGCTTTTAAAGCATCGTCTGCATCTTTTTTTTCTTTATATTCGATAAAAGCATAACATCTACCATTTGATCTTTTTACATCATTTCTTGTTATTGTACCATATTTTGAGAAATGGTCATTAAGATGTCTTTCAGTTGTATCTGTTGAAAGTCTACCAATGTATAATGACATTTTTTTATTGTTATCTATTTTTTTTTATATATGTACTATTATTTATTTATAATAAATTTTTATATAGTTTTTATTTTTTTATTTATTATTTATTATTATGTGATATATAATAGGAATATGTATTTATTTTTTTAAATTGCCAATTAAAAAAATAAAAAGAAATTAAAAAAAAAAAAAAAAAAAAGAAAGAAAAAAAAAAGGATCTGTATGTGTTGGAATGTATTTATATAAAAAAAAATTTAAAAAAAAAAAAAAAAAAAAAAAAGAAAAAAATTTAAAAAAATAAAAAAAAAAAATAAAGAAATTATAAAAAAATAAAAAATTAAAATTTTTTTTTAAAGAAATTTATGAAAAATAAAAATAATAATAAAAATAATAGCATTATTATGTATAGACAACATTTATTTAAAATGGAAAAAATGTGATATCACAAACGATGTAAAAAAAAAAAATAAAAAAAAAAAAAATAAAAAGATCCAAATACATATTTTTTTCTTTTAAATATTTTTTTTTTTTTTTTTTTTTTTTTCGAATATTTTTTTTTTTAATTTTTTTTTTTTAACCCTTCAAGCTTCACACTTCACACATTTATTAAACATCACTAACTAATATAATAATATAATAATATAATAATATAATAATAATAATAATGATGATAATACCAGAGCCAGGTTTTTTAAGCAAAGTTGTGTTTTTTTTTGTTGGTGGAGCATGTAAAACATGGATAAAGTTTAATAAAGTTTCTACAAGTGGGGTCGATAGATTGGTAAAGGAGATTGATAAAACACATTTAGAACGTAGACCAATGATAACAATAGCAAATCATATTTCAAATTTAGATGATCCATTAATATGGGGTGTTTTACCAAACAGAATTCTTATGAACTCTGCAAATATGAGATGGACACTGGGTGCATCCAATATTTTATTTACAAATTGGTTTTATTCAACATTTTTTACACTTGGTAAATGTGTACGTTATCACTTTAATAATAATAGCAAACAATAATTAAAGAACTATTAACTTATTAACATTAAAAAAAAATATTTAGATTAAAATTGTTAGAGGTGATGGTATTTATCAAGAGGGTATGGACGAATCCATTGAAAGACTATGTGAGGGCCAATGGTTACATATATTTCCAGAGGGTAGGGTTAGTCAGCAGCAACAATTATTATATTTTAAATGGGGTTTGGGTAGATTGGTGGGTGAATGTTTTAGAAAAACTGGCAAAGTCCCATTAATATTACCAATATATCACAAAGGAATGGAGCAATCAATGCCATTGGATAAACCACCAATTCCCAGAATCGGTAAAACTTTAGATATACAAGTTGGCGAAAGTATCAGATGCGAGGAAACTATAGAAAACTATTTAAAAGATCATAATATAACCGACCCTAAAACTTTTTTCAATTCAGATAAAAAAAGAAAAGATTTTTATAGAACCATAACATTATATATCGAAGATCAATATCAATTAAATGTACCATTACCAAACCGTGGACGCTTTTCTCATCCAAAACCTCTTCCACCTTTATCTGATATTGTTGATCAAATGATTGAACAGGCAACAGACAAAACAAGCATAAATTTAAATAAAGTTGACAATAATAATAATAATAATAAAAAAAATAATTAATATTATTAAAATACACTTTAAAAATAAATAAAATAACAAAATAAAAAACTATTTTGTTAACTAACCTTTTTTATTTATTTATATCCATATTTAAATTAATTTATTTTTTTATTTATTTTTTTTTTTTATTTGTTTTTTTTTTTTTTTATTAATTTTTTTTTTTTTTTTAATTTTTTGTTTTTAAATTTTAAATTTTTTTTTTAAAATATGGAATCCAGCAATGAAGAAACTATACAACAATACACACCAAAGTTTTGGTTAAGGGATGATGGTATTGGAGACAGCAGTATTAGCAATACAGATAATAATGGTTTTATTTCAAATACAAATATTTATACAATTTTAAAGAAATATCAAGTAATTTTTAAAGAGATTACAAATTTAGTTTCGACATGGGAATATACAGAAGCAAATATATCAGTAGTTTTTGAAAATGTTTTATCATTTTTAGAAAGATTGAATTTATTAAATGTATCACCATTATCTAGCAACAATAACAATGAATCATCAAATGATTTATCAATAAAAAATGATTATTTTAATGTATTTAATAATAGTAACAGAGGCAATAATAATAATAATAATAATAATAATAATAATAATAATAATAATAATAATAATAATAATAATAATAATGATAATAATAATAATAATAATAATAATAATAATAATAATAGTAATAAAAATAGCGAGTTGATCGAAATGGAACTAAAATTAAAAATAATAAATAAGTTAGAAGAATCAATGTCCTCAATATGTAAATATCAAAATGAATTTAAATCAGTAGTCGATAGTTGTTTAAGATTTAGAACCGAAATCGATCAATATTGGAATTCAAATGTTTTTCCCAATGTAATAAATAATAGTTATAATAATAGTAATAATAATAATGTAGATAAAAATTTATACTCCAAAATCAATGAATTAAATCTTGGTAGTTTTAATAATACATCAGTAGCTCAAATAGATCAATGGTTGCATTATATTGTAAATAGTTTTAAAATGGAATTCCAAAGAAAGAGTATAATTTTAAAAGATTTAGAATATACAAAACCCCGTGACCAAATCTCTTTAATTTTCAAAAACTATAATGACAACTCGACCATTTCACTTAATAACAGTAAGTAGTTTTCTTTATTTTTTTTTTTTTTTTTTTTTTTTTCTCGCATTCACACCTTTTCGCTTCAGTTCCTATTTTTTCATTTTTCATTTTTCGGTTTTTTTTTTTTTTTTTTTTTTTTTTTTTTTTTTTTTATCATAATAACATTTTCTAATTTTTCATTTTCAAATTAATATAAAATCTAGTTAAAGAAATTATACCCAAGGTTGTTGGTGTTATTAAAGATCCAAAATAGTAATTTAAATAAAAAAGAAAAGAAAAAGAAAAAAAAAAAGAAAATAAAATAAAATAAAACCGATTGTTATTTGAAACCAATGATCATTAACTTAATTTTAATTTTTTTTTTTTTATATTAATAGAATCATCATCACTTTATTATTTTTTATTTTGTTTTTTTTTTTTATTTTTTTTTTTTTTATAAATAAATAAATTTAAAAAAAAAAAAAGAAAGAAAAGATTACGATTTTTTATTCCAATTAAATATTTACAATTTTTTTTCACGATTTTTATTTTATTTTTTTAAATATATTACTAATAATTTTTATTTTTTTAATTTTTTTATTTTTAAATTTTTTAATTTTTTTTTATCAATAAATTTTTTTTTTGTGTTCAAACTTTTTCATTTTTCATACACACTCCCACACAGCACCAAAATACAAATATAATTATTTGTTATTTTTTTATTAATATTATAAAAAAATAATTTTTCTATATAAATATATATATAAATAATATATAGTATACTATAAAAACAATGTTAAAGAATTCTTTATTATCTAAAAACAATCAAACAAATTTAAACATTTTATATAGATACTATAGCAACATTTCAAATGTAAAATTTTAATTTAATATACATTATATATACATATACATTATATCATATTATTTTTTTTTATATTTTAAAGTATTAATCAATTTTTTTTGTTATATATAATAATCAAAAAAAATAAATAATAATAATTAAAGACTAAAAATTCACCAAAGGGTTTTAAAACTGGTACATTTGCTTGTGGTTTAAAAAAAAGTGGAGCACTCGATATTTGTTTAGTTTACTCTGAAAAAGAATGTAATGTAGCAGCAGTTTTCACAGAAAATAAAGTTAAAGCAGCACCAGTTTTATTGAGCAAATCTTTAATCGACAAGTTTAATAATAAAGGTTTCCAATCTTTAATTATTAATAGTGGTGGCGCTAATGCATGTACTGGTCCAGAGGGTGAAAAAAATGCCAATACTATGTCAACTTTATCATCAAATTTGGTTAATGCAAAACAACCATCATTGGTTATGGTAAGGTTTAAATAGTTTTTTATATTTTTTTTTCAAGGTATATTAACAAAATTTTTTTATAAATAGTCCACTGGTATTATTGGTCAACAATTAGATATGATCAAGGTTCAAAATGGTATTAAAAAAGCTGCAGAAAATTTAAAAGATGATTGGTTATCTGTAAGTATAACTCAAAAATCCTTTTTTTTTATATAGGCTTTGTTACTAATTATTTATTATTTTTTATTAAAATATGATAAGGCTGCCAAAGCAATTATGACAACTGATAAAGTACCAAAATTAGTTCAAAAGTCAGTTGAAATTAATGGCAAAACAGTTAATGTTACCGGTATTTGCAAAGGTGCAGGTATGATTCATCCAAATATGGCAACCATGTTATGTTGTATTTGTACCGACGCTGACATTTCAGAAGATGCTTTAAAGTCAGCTTTAAAACACTCAATTGACTATTCATTCAATTCAATAAACGTAGATGGTGATATGAGTACCAATGATACTGTTGCTATCTTTTCAAATGGTGTTGCTGGTAATCAAAAGCTTACTGACACCAAGAGTACCGAGTTTTTAAATTTCCAAAAATGTGTTAGAGAAACCGCTACCGAATTGGCTCAAATGATTGTAAAAGATGCTGAAGGTGCCACCAAATTCATTAGTATTATTGTTAGAGGCGCTGCTGATGAAGCTTCTGCCAAAGTTGTTGCAAATTCAATTGCAACCTCATCACTTGTAAAAACAGCTATCTATGGTGAAGATGCTAACTGGGGTCGTGTTTTGGCAGCTGTGGGTTATAGTGGCGCTGATGTTACACCATCTAAAATCTCAATGTGGTTCTCTGCTGGTGATGGTAAAAACATTGGTATTGGTCAAAAGAATGATCCACAAAACTCCATGCAATTCCTCAAAGATGGCCAACCAACTCCAAAAGATGAAGAAAGAGCTGCTAAATTATTATCAAATAAAGATGTTGGTATCATTGTTGACTTAAACCAAGGTAATACTGATTACACAATGTGGACATGTGATTTAACTGTTGAATATGTCAAAGCTAATTCACATTACAGAACTTGATTTTTTTTAAAAAAAAAAAAAAAAAAAAAAAAAAAAAAAATTCATACAATAAACAATAAAATTAACCATTTTATATAAATTAAATTTATTTATATTTAAAAATGGTCAATATATTTCAATAAAATAGTATTTGGAATTTTCATTTAAATTTTAAAAAAAATTTTAATTTTTATTTTTTTATATTAGGTATAAATTTTTTATATTTTATAAATAAAAAATTAGGTTGAAATAAACAAAATATTTCATTCATGTAATAAAGTGCACTATGCACAACTAAGGCGTGAGGTCACCAACTTTCGCAAAAGGGAAATTTCTTAATTATACTATTAAATAAAATCTATCAAATTTGAACTCCTACTTTATATTTTCAAAACTTATGGGGGTCTTAAATATACTTAAATATAAAAAGCTCGATTAGCAAAGTTGGAATTGCGACAGCCTTCTAAGCTGTAGGTCCTGGGATCGAGACCCAGATTGAGCGAAATTTTAATAAATTATTTAATATCTTCCCAGTGATTTTATTTTTTTTAATTAATTAATGAAAGAGGCCTGCCCAACTTGTATGCAGTGTGGCAAACCTCTTTAGCAGAATGGTATGAAAATACACATTATTCATAACTTAAATAATTATCGTTTTATTACTTTAATAAATATTATTTACTTTAAATAACTAATAGATTTGTACCTACATTACACTTTCAGGTTCCAGAACCACTTTTGTCTCTCCAGGGTGGTTCTTCTTCCTCTTTCGCAGGTTTTAAGAATAACTTCACTTTTAAAAAAAAATAAATTAAAAAAACCGACAAGTGTTAACATCATATAAATTCTTACTTTTTATAAATTAAGTTTTATCAAATAATTTTAGCACTGTCCAACAGCTTTTTAAAAGCTATTTCAATGTATATTAATTATACACCACAAAACACAGATCAAAAGAATTTAGATCGTATTAAAGATTTTTAATCTTCTATCTTCACTATCTCCAATCTTCACCAATTTGTCTTTCTAAAAGCCAATCCAACTACAAACATCATTCCTACCACCATCTTCAAACATAAAACCAATCATATTAGATTTATCCAACGATTGGAAAGAAATGAAAAATAAGGATTTTCCCCATAATAATTTCAATACTGTTGAAGACATACTCTTGTCAAGCATCTCTATAATTCAAAAAAGTGTTAAAGATATCATTGAACGAGATAACAAACTATCCACCTATGAAAAAAATGGAAACAACATCAATCTCAGATTATATTACCCAAACCACCAAATATCCGATGAACATATAATTCATTTCAGCAAATACACAGATATAGAAAAGATCTCATTTGACAAAAAGAAAAAGAAAACTATCTTTATCTCTCTCTCAAAAGAAAACCTACATAATCTCCTAAATGAAAGAGATACCACCAACAAGTTCATCACGCACTGTGACGATTACCATATGGTAATTGGAAACATCAACTCATCCAATCAAGACATTGAAAAAGTGTTAAAAGAACAACTTAACCTAAAAATTGACTTCTTCTTTTCTCACATCAAAGTCAACAAAAACAATACCTCCTTTTTTCACCTCATTGAAAGAAAAAACAACTCAATCAAATCAAAGCTACTGCAATCACCATACTATCGTATTAAGATTAAGTCTGCAACAAAATCAAAAAATCATCCTAACAACAAAATCAATCAACTAATCAATGAAGATATACTAGGGGTCTCCACTGATAAAGAAATTGATAACAACATTACCAAAATCAATCAATTAAGCAATGAAGATATGTCCAGGGTCTCCACTGTTAAAGAAATTGATAACAACATTACCATAATCAATCAATTAATCAAAAAAGATAGGGTCGACTTTAATGATCAAGATGATGATTACAAAGAAACTATTTCTGATAACGAATCTAACAATTCAACTAACACACTAGATAACGAGGAAATATCTAATGACGAAACAAACAAACAAACAAAAAACCAATCACCACAAGATGACAATAAATCATCAACCAGCAAACCCTCAAGAACATCCAGGGTTAACGCACTAAACAACATCTTTACAAGATTAGCTTCACCAACTTCCAAAAATAAAACCGCCATAACAAATATGAATACCACCGCAAAAAGTAACCGTACTCGAAATGTTAGCCAAATATCCACACCAATCAAAAACACTCCATACCAATCAGGCAGTCCGAAATCACCTGCTATTGAACAAAAATCTAAGAAAAAAAAAACTTCTTAAACTAGATAGGTTGTTTCAACCTTACCCCATCACACCTTACCCCAACACCTGCTTCTTCTTATATTTTAATATAAATAAACACCGTCGCTTACACTAATAATATTTATTATATTATTAAGTAAGCTTTTTTAAAAAAAAAAAAAAAAAAAAAAAAAAGAATGGTATTCGGAAATAAACAATATCAACAACTTTGTACCAAAAACAGAATTCCAACAATGTCTTCAACTTACAGGTTATAGCTATACAAATACGGTAACATTTGAACCTAAGTACCATACTTTAATCTTTAGCTCTTAACCCACCATTTGAAATATTAGTTACTGCTTCAACTGCCTATATAGCTACCATCATTAACCTTATTGGCATCTATCCTCATCATTACATTTGATTTGTTACAAAGATTTTTATACGCTAGTAAAATAACCTAATTTATTATTTGGTTGATATTTTAACATTGTTATTACTATTTTGTTGTGTAGAGGTATTATTGCTGATCACCTATTCTATTAACAACGTTCTTCTTTTTGTTTTTATACTTGTTTAGAATAACCTGGTTTTATATATATATGTGTTAATATTTGTATATTGATTTAGATGATACATACTAAATAAAAAATAAAAAAAATTTAAAAAAAAAAAAAAAAAAAAAAAAAAAAAATAGTAAATAATAAAATTTTTGAATTATAAAAAAGAATCTATAATTTCCTTTAGTAAATAAAAGATTATAACCAAATTGGGTATTCCTTTTTTGGAAATTTTAATCTATTGTTATCATAAAAGGAAATACACATCCCTAATAAAACTTTAAACCTTTAAAAAAAAAAAAAAAAATTTCTAGGTAGAAAATATAAAATTATTTTTTATTTATTAAAATTTTTAGATAAAAATATTAATCTATTTAATCTATTTATTTTATTTGTTTATTTATTGGTTGATTGAAAATTGTTTTTTTTTGTTGTTTGAATTAGTATAAAATGAAAACTTTCTTTTACGAGTTTACCAGTTAGTCTATTCAATTCTTTTAATTTTTTACACATATCAACTGTGGCACGAGTGGCTGGGGTGGCTAGAGTATCTCTTTTGGGCTACTTTCTAAAGCTTCTATATTTTTCATACCAATCGCTGTGTCCAATAATCTCTTTTAATTTCTAACCCGATTGGAGGTAATCTTGGGTTGCTTTTAATGGCCCATCCATATAATCTCCACCCTTAATAAGTTTTTTTTTTTTTTTTAAATGTTTTTTTTTTTAATTATTATTATTTGTTTCTGTTATTTTGAAATTATAAAGAATGATTGAAAAAAAAAAAAAAAAAAAAAAAAAATTTTGAAAAAAAATTTTAAAAAAAAATTAAATTAAAACCCACCACACACAATTTTTCTTTTTTATAAAAAAATTAATTAAAAAATAGATAGAACTGTTTAGTTATTCCCATAAAATATTTACATTTCATTGCTGCATATAAAAAAAATTTTAAAAAAAATATAAATTAAGAAATATAAAGCTATCAGGAATTCAATAGCCTAGCAGATGCTCGGCTTTATTTTTTCTTCAATAAAAAGCTTGTTGAGAGTTTTTTATTTTTGTTGTGTTATATATATATTTGGTTTGTGTTTTCATTTGGTATACAAATATATAAAACTTTTCAGTAAGTTTTTATTTGTTTTTGTGTTATTGTGTTTTGGTTTGTGTTTTAAAAAACTTGTTGGGAGTTTTTTATTTGTATTGTGTATTCGTTTTTACCGAGTTTATCTTTCCGGTGATTATAATATAAATATCAACTTATATTAATAAATAAAAAATATATTTTATATTAATATATTAATAATATTTTATTTATTTATATTTTTATATAAGAATAAATAAATTTTTTTTTTTTTTTAAAAAATAAATAGATAAAAATAAATTATACTTTTTTTTTTTTTTTTTTTAAAATTAAAATTTTATTATTTTTTTTATTTTATTATATTTATTATAATTTTATAAAAGTTTAAATGCTAATTTGATGATCTAAAACAAAAGCAATTATATTTGATGCCAGTTTTTTGTATTAATTGCTAAAAACGAATTTTTGCCTTACCCCCCAGCTAACCACGAATTTTTGACTTACCCCTTCAATATGAATGGTGCAAAGGTTAACACGACTTTTATTAATTTATTTTTAAAAGAATTTTTAGTAATTTAATATTGTTTTTTAATTTTAGTGATTTAATTTCTATTGGGTAATTTTTGTTATTGAATTTTTTAAAACCTTATTAGGCACTATTACAAATTCCAATATAAAAAGCTCGATTAGCAAAGTTGGAATTGCGACAGCCTTCTAAGCTGTAGGTCCTGGGATCGAGACCCAGATTGAGCGAAAATCCATTCCGTAGATTCAATCTTCCTGGTGATTAAAAATGTTTCTTCATCTTCATCTTCATGTTCTTGTAATGCAGATGGAGCTACTTACGCTCCGTGAGTTTTCTTGATTCCATCTGAACTTACATCCTAGCTTCTTTTGAATATTAACTGATTCTACCATCAAAACTGCAATATATTTGATTCCCGAATCAGCTAGAACAATTGATATTAATTAATAAATTTTTTTTTTTACTATCACTATAACCACCATAGCTTTACTACTCTTACCGAATTAACGCAGACCCAAAGGTTTTTGTTAAGAACAATAAGATCGTAAAAAAAGTGTAATGTGTATTTTACTGATTAATTTAAAGCATTTGCTTTAATTATCGATAATTAAAAAAAAAAAAAAAAAAAAAAAAAAAAAAAAAAAAAAATAAAATTAATAAAAAAAAAAAAAAATTATTAAAAATAAAATAAAATTAAAAATTGATTATGTCAAAAAACACAACAGTTAATAACAGCAATAGTAAAGATGTTAATTACCCCAGTTATAAAGTGGTCAACCTTTAAAAAATAATAATAGTGAAAGTAGTAGCAATAAAATAACAACAAATAATTTAAGTAGTAATAATAACCCACCAATCAAAAAAGAATATGGACACGAATCAAGTTCATAATTTAATAATTATAGTTATGATACATCAAATTTAGGAGCAGGAAGAAGAAGTGTAGAAAGCGATGAATTTAGAGAATATTTGTTAAAAGAATTATCTATGCTCAAATTAGAAAATGATAGATTTAGAAGTCAAAATGTTGGATATGAAGGAAAGAAGAAATTAGAAAATGCAAAGTTTGAAGGAGGTTTTTCAATGGGTTTTGAAAGACATGGGATTTATTCGAATTTCAATTTAGATATCATTTTGGTCCCCGTTTCGATAATATAGACTTAATCTCAAGTCTAAAAGGTGATGCTTTAATTCATTTACAAAGAATGAATCCAAATGGTAATAATACTGTAGAAGAGAATCTATTACAATTAAGAAAACAAAATCAAGATCTTCCAACTACGTTGTTACTCAAGTTTAGCGAACGTTTATTATTAGTTTTCGATACAGTTCGTACAAGGACGAAATTATCAGATGATGCTGCAATGGTCACACTCAAGTCAACTTTAGGTATAAATTTCTCAAAAGCATAATGGTAGATATTTCAGACATAGAAGGTTATTCATCATTCCAAAAATTTAGTGAAAAGATTGTTCGTCTTGAAAGAAATTATCAACTAACAATGGGTAAATCTCTTTATTTACGTCAAGATGAAATTCAACGTATATTTGATGCCAGTATTTCAAGTTCAGGATTAACGTCAGTTGTCGTAACGCAGTAGCTGCAGAGATGTCAAAAGAAGTAGTGGATTTAGAAGCTTCATTTGTGGCAATCCAAATCATTTAGCTAGAGATTAAGTCTGTATTATCAAAACGAGGACCAAAATGATATCTAAATTGAAATTCGAATAAATCCCATGTTCTTTCAAAACCCATTGAAAAACCTCCTTCAAACTTTGAATCTTCTGGTAATGGTTTCTTCTTTCTTTCATATTCAACATTTTGACTTCTAAATCTATCATTTTCTTATTTGAGCATAGATAATTCTTTTAACAAATATTCTCTAAATTCATCGCTTTCTACACTTCTTCTTCCTGCTCCTAAATTTGATGTATCATAACTATAATTATTAAATTCTGAACTTGATTCGTGTTCATATTCTTTTTTGATTGGTGGGTTATTATTACTACTTAAATTATTTGTTGTTGTTGTTGTTTTATTACCGCTAATACTACTACTTTCGCTATTGTTATTTTTTAAAGGTTGACCACTTTATAACTGGGGTAATTAACATCTTTACTATTGCTGTTATTAAATGTTGTGTTTTTTGACATAATTTTTTAATTTTTTTTTTATTTTTTATTTTATTTTATTTTATTTTTATTTTTATTTTTATTTTTTTTATTTTTATTTTTTTATTTTTTTTTTATTTTTTTTTTTGTGTGTGGTTGTAAAAATTTAAATATGAGAATTTCTTTCTTATAAAACTATCTTTATTCCTACCCTTTATAATTTTTTATGTGTTTCTGATAAGCTGTCGCCAAAATGTAATGAAAAGGTATATGATTATGACTAAGTTACACAACTAAAATACTTAACAAAAATATAATAAACTCTAAGTACACACTTAAGGAGACTCAACACTGAAATATACTTTATAAATTGAAATTATGATGGGGCACCTGATAGAAATCAATTTTATTCGTCGTTTTACTATTGACCATATATTCTCCATAATATTAAGATGAAAAAATGAACAGGGTGGAATAAATATCACCCTAATGTTCATTTTTTCATAAAAATCGGTCAATAGTTGGGTCACATGAATAGAGCAATTGTCTTGTAAAAGAAACGAATCACCAGATAAAATTCATTTCTCTCGTAAAGTTCTTCTATAACCTTGGATAATTATTTCTAAATATTTTGCAGAATTTATGTTTAATGATACTAAAGAGGTCGTATCAAACTTTAAAAAAAAACATTATTAAGTTGTAGAGATAAGAAAGATGTACGACCTAATTAAAAGACTTTGTAGAAATAAAATTTGAAATGGGAAATGTCATAATTTAAGTCTTATAAAAAATATTTTCAAAAAAACTTTCAAAAAATGTTTCATTTAGTACAATTGGTAGGTAGTACAACTGACTTTAATATGAAAATTTAAATTTTTAGGGTTGACGGTGGAGAAATATTTTTGTGGTTAATTTGTAAATAAAAATCACCTTAAACATGTGGGGACCTATTCATTACATCATTATATAAAAAGCTCGATTAGCAAAGTTGGAATTGCGACAGCCTTCTAAGCTGTAGGTCCTGGGATCGAGACCCAGATTGAGCGAATTTATATAATCTACTATCTTCTCGGTGATTTTTATATGTTTCTATGTTCTTGTAATGTATTCATATGCATTTTAGAATTAAATGAATATTACAAGATATTGGTTTATTTACTAAAAATTAAAATTAAAATATTTATTCCGTTTTTTCAATTTCAAAAATTTTATTTTTATTTTTTTTACAATTATATATAAATCCTTTTGATAAATGAACAAATAAATTTGGCCATAATATGTTTATGGATCAAGAAAATTTCCCCAAAATATTTCATTAACCCCACCCTTTATAACACTTGTCTTGATACACGATTCTAGTAAAACATTAGTTTCATAAGCCCAAGAAGATCTACGATGGTTTTTATTAAATTATTGGAACTTTTCTTGATCCATAAACATATAATTTTCCCTTGTTCCACAATAAAATTTGTATGCACAACTTCGAAAAATCTTTTTCTTCTATTATGTCTAATCAATGAAGGACTCTGAACTTTCTGTTTAAATACTATACTGTATCTCTTTAATATCACTCTTACTTGTTTGATATTCTTCCATATCCATTTTGTTCATATCAAATTATACTTTATTTTATATTGTTAAATTTACTATTTAATAAATTGAATCTTAAAACACCTTCATCACGCTCATCAAACTTTTTTTCTCCCATCACTTGTACGGTCATTGATTGCACATGTTTGTACTATTATTTCTAATGTTTGTGCTATTTTTGATTTATGCATTCCCAATTTTTTTGAAAATTTTTGAATTCAAAAATTGATTTTTTTTTAAAAAATATTTTCTATTTTTTTTTAATAAATAAAATAATTAACAGTTTAAATTTTTTTAAAAATGAATTTATTTATTTACAATTAGAAAAAAAACTATTGATTTATTTCTATGAAAATATCTTTAAAACTTTAATTTAAGGGTGTTCTTTACCTTCTCTTCCCCTAGATTAAGTATTAACATGGTTTGAACTATGTTTCATCTTTTTCACCATAATTTCTGGTGCATAGAACTTTGGGTAGGTAGATGGGGTGGAGCAATGGAAAGTTTGGATTAATAATTGGTCTACAGACAATTTCTACTTTGAATCGGAATAAACATTGAACAATGAGCTAAATGTTTAGTGAATTGAACTTTTAAATTTGAAATGGGTATAGTGTACTGAGGTGGTGTGGTAGAATTTGAACATGTGTTTGTGGTTATACTACTGGATTATAACTTTGAGTGTGATTTATGAGGTGGTTCCATTTAAGTACTGAGGTGATAGTGGTGTTTTAAATAAATGCTTGCGAGCTTTTAAAAAGAAATATGTGATTTTAGTTGATGTAGATGGGCATCCTGATGATAATAGGGCACTTTGTGTTGGCTATTTATTAAACATAAACCCAATGTTTGATTAGAGATTTTAGACAAAACGTATTGATTCGTAAAAATAAAAAATTGGAATTTAACTATATAGATATTAAAATTAAATATTGGTTTCTTTTTTTTAAATATAAGCATAATTATAATAATGATATCATTATTGTTACCTTAATATTTTGTTTTTTATTTGATATTTGGAATTGACTTAAACATTTTCCGCTTTTTTCAAAAGAGTTGAACTATATGATAACTATATGTTGATAATTTCTGAATTGTTAACTATTTTGATCGATTTTAATGAAATATTTGAAGAAAACGATTTAATTAATAATTTTACCGTTATCGAGTTAATTAGTTGAATGAAACGATTTAGTTATTAATATCATGGCTATGATTAATCGAGATTCGTAGGTCAACTAATTCTTCTAAATTGCTTGGAATGGTTTATCCAGTTTAGTAAATAGGTGTTCGTCCCATACAACCGGATCATACTGAGCTTCTTTTAAAATTTGATTTATTATTTCTTGTATCGGTTTATTGACCGATGGACACTTGAAGAATATATGTTTTGATGATTTTTTGTCTGGACAGAACATTGTGATTCGAAAATTTTTGAATCAATGCTTTCAGCAAGTATCTCCAGAGTAGATCTCTCACCTTTACTGGTATAAGCTTTCTGGCTTGGGCAAACGGTATATCTTGTTTGATTTTTTGTGCTAATATACTTTGGGTAGCGGTGTGGTGCATTTCGTTCCACCCATTTTTATGTTTTATATTTTTGATCACCTTAAAGATATGGACTTTTTAACCATTAAATGTAAAAAGCTCGATTAGCAAAGTTGGAATTGCGACAGCCTTCTAAGCTGTAGGTCCTGGGATCGAGACCCAGATTGAGCGAACTTTTATATCCATTATATCTTCCAGGTGGTTTTTTTTTTTTTTTTTTTTTTGTGTTGCACCCTTACTGGTTCACAACAAACCATGTAGACTACTGCATCAATATCAATGCATTACCAAATATCAATAGTTTGGAATATTTCCTCTAAAAATTTACATTAAAAACATTAAATAAAATTTACTGAATAATTTAAAGCATTTGCTTTTAATTATCTTCACTTTTAAAAAAAAAAAATAAAAAATCCCAGTCTGATGGGTTTTCCGAATTGACGTTACTGTGCCCAACTTGTATTCAATGTGGTAAAACTCATATATGTTTTATACCAAACAAAAACAAAAAACACAAAAAAAATTGATATCAAAGAATATTTTATAAAATATTAATTATTCATAAAAATCATATTTTTTTATCTTTATTTTATTCATATATTTAAGCTCTTTTACATTAGATTAAATATGGTTTATTTATTTAAGTATTAATTATGTTTAGGTTTCTTTTTATTTTCTTCTTTAACTTGTTCAATAAGAAACCTATGCTTTAATTCTCTCCATTCTTCATCAGATATATTATACATTTCTTTTAGTATTGCGATTTGGTTCGATTTAGTTTCTATTTTAAATTTAAAAAAATATTAATATTATTAACTAAAATTTTTTTTTGTAAATATTTTTATGTTACCTTTATCATTTCCAGTTGAAATTAATTCGATTTGTGCTAAAATATTACCAATTATGCTACGTTTTAATCTTTTACATTCCCTGCAGGTATCTACTAATGTTATATTTTCTAAATGGTGAAACGTTTTGCAATGTCTTGCATGGTTTGTTTTTGATACAACATCACCACAACCATCATGAGCACAAATTGTGTCGTTGATCCTAATTTCTTTTTTTGGTACTTCAACATTCTTTATTAAATCGATATGATTTTCAAATAGGTGTGCTTCTAACTCTTTTCTCTTTCTAAATCTTATAGATGAGTTGTTAGGGTGTTCTAAATTGCAACAAAAGTTTGATCTCTCTCTAATGATTGATTTGTCAATTGATGTTTCAATAAAACAATCCATTGAATTTCTAAGTTGGTACATTTCGCCTTCTATTTTCGTTGGTTTATCACCTTCATTAAAATTTTCCAAACCACCAAGTAATAGTTTAAAAAATTTGATATTATAATGATTTAAAATTGAGTCATTTATTAATAGTATTTCTTCTATTGTTAACTCTTTAATTTGTTTTTTTTTATTTGATATTAAATAAAGCAAACTATTTCTTTCATTATTAATTTTTTGATATTTATTATTATTGATTTTAAAATTATTATTATCTAATGAATTTTTATTTATATTGTATATATTTATATTGTTCATATTATTGTTTGTATTATTAATATAATTCATATAATTTATATTGTTACTATTATTGTTACTAAAATTATTACCATTGCTATTTATTTTAAAGTTATTACCATTAAATTCATTTTGATTGTTCGTCAATTTTGATACTGGAGTATCAAATGATTTTAATAAATGTTGTGAAGATATTAATGGAGTATGTTGTTCCTGTAGTTGTTGTTGTAGCTTTAGCTGTAACTGTTGTTGTTGATGTTGCTGTTGATGTTGTTGTTGTAAAATTTTCAAATGTAATAGTGCTTGCTGTTGCTTTATTTCAAAAGGTAATGAAGGTATTAAATTTTTATTATTGTTGCCATTATTTACATTGCTTTCACTTTTATCGATATTGGGGAGAGGAGGAAGAGGGGGATCAGAGGAGAGAGTTCTTTTACTGTTATTATTATTATTATTATTATTATTATTATTATTATTATTATTGTTATTGTTATTGTTATTGTTATTGTTATTATTATTGTTATTGTTATTGTTATTATTATTGTTATTGTTATTATTAATTTTAAATTTATATTTTGTTCCCTCTTTATTATTATTATTATTATTATTATTATTATTATTATTATTATTATTATTATTATTATTATTATTATTATTATTATTGTCTATATAATTATCTATATTATCTATATTATTATTATTATTATTGGTGTTGGTAATTATTCACATTTTTTATACTATTAACATTTTTTATATTGTTATTATTATTATAATCATAATAAGAATTAATGTCTTTAAATGAATTGTTTTTTGGTTCGGAATTATCAACTTTTTGTTTTTTATAAATACCAATTATGTCATTGATTATACTATTACTATTATTAATATTATTAATTATTTCACTATTGTTTTTAAAAATATTATTATTATTATTTTTAATTATCCCTCTATTATCATTTATTTTATTATCTTTAGTACCATAATGATTATAAAGATTAAAATGATAATTATTATTATTAAGAATTTCATTATTTTTATCAATATGATTATCAATATGATTATTATGGTTATTATGATTATTATGATTATTATGATTATTTTGGTTATTATGTTTATTATCATTAAGAATTTCATAATGGTTATCAATATGAATATTATTATGATTATTATGATTATTATGAATATGATTATAAACAAAATTGTTATTGATATTATTAAATTTATTATTAGTATTATTTAAAGCATAAAATAGGTTTCCTTTAATTTCATTGCTGTCATTATTCTTATTAAAATGATTATTTTCGGTTTTATTAATGTTTTCAACATTACCAATTTTATCATCAATAACTTCTATATTGTCAAGATATTTTACATTAATTGGTTTATTATTGGAATATTCTTCGTCTGAAATATTAAAACCTTTGATATTTCTTTTGGGATTGTTATTATTGTTGTTATAGAGGTCATTTTTTTGGTTATATATAAAATTGTTTTCATTTACTTTTTCAATATTTTTTTTTGAAAAATTAAACGAAAATTGTTGTTGGTATGGAATCATCTTGATTTTTAATTTATTAAAATGATTCTTGTTTTTTTGAAAAAAAAAAAAAAAAAATTTAATTTAAAAAAAAAAAAAAAAAGATTGATAAATTTTGCGAAGATACAAAAGTGATAGTTTTATATATATGTATATTATTGAATTATATCTTCTTTTATTTTTTTTTTTTTTTTTTTTTTTTTTTGAAAAAATAAAATAAAAAAAAATAAAAAATAAAAAAATAAAAATAAAAAAAAAATGGTTTTTTTTTTTTTTATCGGGTTGGGGAAATATTTAATTTCAAAAAAATAAAAAACAAAAAAAAATTAAAAAAAAAAAAAAAAGAATACAAATTCTTTTTGGTTTTCTTTGCCTCTGTTATAAAATTCTTCCCAAAGTTTTTTTTTTTTTTTTTGATTTTTAAGGATCTTTTGACAGAGAGAAATTGAAACTAATTTTAAATTTTAAAAAATATTTAAAAAATTCAAAAATAAAAAAAAAAAATAGATTTACCAGACATAAAAATAAAATCAATTTTTTTGTTCAATATTAATATTGAAAAATAAAATTGTAAAAAATTTATATGTATTTATAAAGTGTGTATTTAAAATCATTATCAATTGGTAAAATATGAATATCCTATTTCTAATTTTAAATGAACAATCAATTATTTGAAATAAAAATCATAACTCATCAAAATCTAGATCAGTGTAAAGGTAACAGTGGTTATTAATAGTTGTTTATAGATAAATAATAAAATGTGACTTATTTTATCACTAAATATGGTCATTGTAATTAAAAAAAATAATAGTAAAAAAATCAAAAAAAAATTTTCCCCCTTTTTTTTTTTTTTTTTAAAATTTTATTATTTTTTTTTTTTTTAAAATTTTTTTTTAAATTTTTAAAATAATTTTCAAAAGAAATAATAAACAAATAAAAAATGGATCCAAACGATATTGATAATTATAGTTATAATAGTTATGATAGTAATAATAATAAAAAATCTAAAATTTCATTTTTAGATACAAGAAAACGAAAAGAACAAGAGGAAGAAGAAGAAATATTAAATGAAGAGCCAAAAGATATAGATTTTACAGATATAAATACAGAACAAAACGATGATTTAATTAAAAGAGATTTGGTATTTTGGGGTACTAATGTTAAAGTTGAAGATGTCAAAAAGAGATTTAGAAAGTTTATATTTGAATTCCCATTACCAAAGCAAAAGAAAAAGTTTAATGCAAGCCAACCAGGTATTGAAGAAGAAGTGGATCCAGAAGATGACGACTATGAATATGTTTTTGACGAGAAATTAAACGATGTTGTAAAAAAAGCAAAGCCAATCAAATATTTATATATAGAGTTATTAAAAGAGTTACATCAAGCAAAGAAATATCACTTAAATGTAAATTTAAAGAATTTAATTCAATTTGATACAGAGTTATATTTGCAATGGATTTCGTTCCCCAATGAAATGATACCTTTGCTAGATGAAGAAATTAATCAAATCTATAAAGAATTATTTAAAAAAAAGAAGCAAGAAGATGAAGAAGATGAAGATGACGAAGACGAAGAAGAGGATGATGAAGACGACGACGACTTTAGAATCGAATTACATCCATTTAATTTAAAGAAATCCACACCAATGAGAGATTTAAATCCATCCGATATAGACAAAATCATTTCAATTAGAGGTTTAATTATTAGAACAAGTTCCATTATACCAGAAATTAAACAAGCTTTTTTTTTATGTGCCGTTTGTGAGGCCACTTATCATGCTAATGTTGAAAGAGGTAGAATTATGGAGCCATCAGAATGTGCAAATTGTAAATCAAAGCAATCACTCACTATAGTTCATAATCGTTGTTTATTTGGTGACAAGCAATATATAAAGTTACAAGAAACTCCTGATGCAATTCCAGAGGGTGAGACTCCACATACCGTTGCTTTATTCTCTTATGGTGACCTTATTGATGTTGCTAGACCTGGTGATAGAGTCGAAATTTCTGGTGTTTTCAAAGCGAATCCAATGAGAGCCGGTTCAAATAGATCTTTAAGAAGTATTTATAAAACTTGTAAGTGTTTATTATTAATCAAACTATATACCAATTAAAATAATAATTTTTAACTAACCACTTATCACTATTTAATTTATAAAGATATTGATGTCTTACATATTAAAAGAACTGAAAGAGGTAAAAGAGATGAAGATGGTTTTGAAAATGATGATCAAGCTACAGGTAGTTCATTAGAGTAAGTTTTATTTATTTTTTTATTTTAAAAAAAGATATTAATATTTTTAATATTTTATTTTTATAGTTTTGAGGATTTTGATTTATCAGAAGAAAAAGAAAAAGAAATAATAGAATTATCAAAACAACCAGATATTTATGATATCGTTACAAAATCATTAGCACCATCAATTTGGGAATTAGAAGATGTAAAGAAAGGTATTTTATGTCAATTATTTGGGGGTTCTAAAAAGACATATTCAGACTATGGTGGTAAATTCAGAGGGGATATTAATATTTTATTATGTGGTGATCCAGGTACATCCAAATCGCAATTACTTTCATATGTTCACAAAATTGCACCACGTGGTATTTATACTTCTGGCAAAGGTAGTAGTGCAGTTGGTTTAACAGCATATATAACAAAAGATCCAGATACCAGAGAAACTGTACTCGAAAGTGGTGCTTTAATCCTCTCAGATAAAGGTGTGTGTTGTATTGATGAGTTTGATAAAATGAATGACCAAACTCGTTCAATTCTTCACGAAGTTATGGAACAGCAAACTGTATCTGTTGCAAAGGCAGGAATTATTTGTACATTAAACGCTAGAACTTCAATTCTTGCCTCTGCAAATCCAAGTGGTAGTAGATATCTTCCAAATAAATCTGTTGTTGAAAATATTCAATTACCTCCAACTCTTTTATCCAGATTCGATTTAATTTATTTAGTGTTGGATAAAGCTCAAGAAGCAAGCGATAGAAAACTTGCAAGACATTTGGTATCAATGTATTGGGATGATCAATCAACTTCAACACGTAAAAATCAAGTTATCTCAAAAGAACTTTTAACCAACTATATCTATTATGCCAGAAAGCATATTAATCCACAACTATCAGATGAATCATCAAATCGTTTGGTTCAAGGTTATTTAGATATGAGATCACTTGGTGGCAATGGTAAAACTATTAGTGCCACTCCCAGACAATTAGAATCATTAATTCGTATCGCCGAAGCTCATGCTAGAATTCGTTTCTCAAAAGTTGTTGAACCATTCGATGTTGACGAAGCTATACGTCTAGTTAAGGTTGCACTTCAACAAGCTGCCATCGACCCAGAACATGGTACAATCGATATGGATCTTATTACCACTGGTAGATCTGCATCATCAAGAGAAATGATTTATAAATTAAAAAATACAATTAGAGAAAAGCTTGGTAAGAAATCACTAAATTTAGAAGCTATTTTAAATCTTTTACAACCTCAATCACAACAACAACAACAGCAACCACAACAACAAAACCACCAGCAAAATTACCAACACATTGAAGAGGTTAAAGAAGCTTTAAGACAACTTCAAGATGAAGAAGTTATACACTCATCAGGCGGTGTTAATGCTGAATATTCAATTTTAAGATAAATTATCGAGGAATAGTATAAAAATAATAAAATAATAAAAAAATAAAAATATATTTATTTAAATTATATTATATTTTATTTTAAATCTTCATAGTATTTAATTGATTTATAAATTAGTTTCTTTTCGCATATATTTAATGATGTTGAAATGATTTTTCTATTTTCTTCGTTCTCTTTTAGTTCCTTTAATTTATTTTGATCTTGTTCCAAAGTTGTTGGGTAGTTTGAAAGCTTATTATTTAAAATTTGAACGATTGCTTTTTTAACCTGAGCATTTTGTTTAACAATATCTTCAGCTTCTAATTTTTCGAAATACTTTTCCAATTTATGTTCTGACATCTTGAGCCAACCTTCAAACTCAGATAATGGAGCTAAGGCAATACCGACTGAACAAACCAAAGCATCATCTAATCTTCCTGAAATTTCGATTGAATGAGTATTTCTTGAATCTATATCGAAAAGTGATGCATAAAATGAAATACGTTTTGATAATTCATTTGAATCGAAACCATTCTCTTTGCATAAAGAAATTAAATTGGTATCTACTAGTGATTTTTCAACTGGTAAATTATCACATGGGTTGTCCATCTCGATAAAACCATATTTACTGAGGAGTGTGGCGTTGCTATGGTCTCCATAGGTATTATAAACTTCTTGATTTGCTTTAACTGCTTTAACAACTTTAATATAAAGGTGTTCATCATCCTCTTCTGCTATATCGCCACAATTTTCTTCATCGTTTATTTGTTGTTGCTTTTGTTTTTCGATAAGTTCCATTTTCTTTTTATTTGTAAGTTTTTTATAGGATTTTGCGCTCTTTGTTATTAATGGAGTAACTTTTCTATGTTTACAGGTCTTAATGGAGCCACATTTATTACAAACATCACCATTCGATTCGATGTGAACATTTTCTCTACCAGTTTTATGATTAAAAATATCGGCTAATGGTACCAATGAATCACCATGATAACTATCAATACAAAATGCTCTTGATGATACAATTGAATTTGCAATCTTGAAATTTTCAAAACTAAATATTTCTTTGCTAAAGTATTCTGGATGATTCTTTATTAATAAACTTTCTACGATATCTGCGTATGCATGGTTAATTAAAATATTATCATCTTGAATAACATCTTCCATAACGGTTCCATTTAATAGTTGTTGTGATTCTTTGTCCCAAAGAATTGGAATATCTACTTTAAGTGGGAGTGATGAAATGTACCCATACCATTTTGATTTTTCTCCAATAGATGCCTCATAAATCAATGCTATAGCTGTTGCAATATTTCTTTCCATTGTATATTTTGTTAAAATGTTTGATATTGATGATGTGTGAATCGATAATATAATATCTTTGGGAATCTTTGCAACAATATTATTAACTTTTAAATCTTTGTTACTAATAATACCCAAACCTGAAATAATGGTTTTATTTAATCTTTTTGAGTTATTTTCATTATTATTATTTTCATTATTAGTAGTTTTATTATTATTGTTATTACTATTTTCATATAAATGATCTTTTTCTAAATATACAATCTTTATTAATTTATGATCGATTTTACAACCATTATCGATTAACCATCTATGAATAATTTCTGATTTATCTGCTAATGATGGTTTTGGTATATTAGAAATTTGGGTTGTCATTATTTGGTTTATAATAAAAAAAATAATCGTTTTTTTTTTTTCAATTATTTTTTAATTTTTTTTTTTTTTTTTTTTTTTTTGAAACATTTTTCCCAAATTGAAATTAAAATAAAAATAGTTGTTTAAAATACTTTATAATTTAAATTTAGAATTTGGACCAACAAAAAATACTGTTTTTATTAAAATTTTTTTTTTTTAATATTGGACATATAATCTAACGGGTGGTCCTTTAGCTTCATTTTCACCATCCAAATAAGATACATATAGTTCAACAAATTTTTGATTTTCTTCTAAATTTAAAAGACTTTTAATTGGTAAAGTTAATCTCTTTCTATGTGATGGTAGTGCAGACATATAAACAATCGATACATCTTGATAAATACCACTAACTTTTAGATTGTATTTCTTCTCGATACTATAATAAAATTAAAAAAATAAATAAAATTAATAAAAAGAAAAATAATTATTATCATTGATTATATTATTATCTTTTATCAATAATACATACTATGAATTAAAATCACCTATTGTTAAAATATCTGGATTATTGATATCCCAAGACTCCCATAGTGTAGTAAAAGTATCATTGGTAATTTTAATTTTTGGTGGAGGAGCAGGTTCACTTAATTGGAATGATGGTATTGATAAATTTACAAAGTAGTTTCTAAATTGAGATAAAATAGCATTTTGATCTAATTCTTTGTTTGCAAATTTTTCTTTAAAATCACTCGAGAGAGTTTTGATTAACTCTAAAGAAAGAAATCCAGAGATAACACTAGTGGTAGTAGCAATAGCAGGAATAATTTTACCAGCAATTAGTTTAACTTTGAAACGATCACATTCAGTAATTTGGTAAATTCTAGCTCTTAGATTTGAGATTGAAGTAATAAAATTGATGTGATGATTTGAATCGTCATCTTTTTCAAATTGTAATGGTTTAATACCAAAATTTGAGTTCTTTTCTTTAAATTCTTTTAATTTATTTGTTAAATTTATTTGTAATTCTTTAAATTGTTCCAATGTAAAGTTTTCAACTGGAGCTGCTGCTTTTTCATCTGATATTATTACTTTACTCTTTGATTTAAATTCTGGGATTGAAGCGGTAACATTCTTTATAAATTTGACAATAGACTCTTCGCTAATATCGGATGGAATTGATACATTATAAATTTCTGCTAAAAGTAATGATAAATTTTTGATGAATGATAAATGTAATGAATCATTTTCGTCAAACTTTAATGGTGTTGGTGGTCTTTTTGGTGAGCTCCAAAATGGTACACCTTCTTTAGTAACTAAATCTAATGGATAATTCTTTAAAAGCTGTTGAGTTGAATGATTAAAGAGCTTTTCAAATTTGATTCTTGAATAGGTAATACAATCTTGAAAAGTATATGGTAGATTATTCATCATCTTAAAGAGTGATTTCGATGTTGAAATTTTATTTGATGAATCTGAATTTAATAAGTTCTCTAAATAATTTTCTTCTTTTATAAACTTTTCTAATTCATTTGGGTTAATTGTAAAGAACTTTTCGAATTTATCTCTTGACCATTGAATACAGTGATCTAAATTAGTTGGGAAAGATTTTAATGTGCAGAATGGTGTTTGTTTCTCATTTGGATCTTTTTGAGAAGCATATGTCTCTGTTAAATAGGGCAAAATTACTTGAACGTGACCTTTTGTACCAAGTGTACCGCTTTCTAAAAATGCTAATTTGTTTGTGATACATTGCTTATCTAAATAGAGACGAGCTTCAACATTATCTAATGCACTAACAACACAATCCAGTGATTCATAAAATGTGCTATTATAAATATGTTCTGTATTAGGGTCAATTTTATCTTGATGTGCCTTAATTTGAATGGATGGATTCATATGCTCGGTTACCCTTGAAGCTACTAATGATTTGGATTGGTTGATATCTTTATTTCTAAATAAAAATTGTCTATTTAAATTTGATTTTTCGATAAGATCATTATCGGTAACAGTTATTAAAGCATTCGAGTCTTTATTGCAGGCCACACTTAACAAAGCGAAATTCTTTAGCATTTCACAACCAATAGCACCAGAACCAACCATAAATAATTTTGAGCTTTCAAGTTTTTTGCAAATTTTTTCACCAAGACAGATTAATTGAGCATATTGTCTATTTGATTTTAATGTGGAGTTAGCAGCTGTATAAAAGTTTGATAATAGTTCTTTATTTAACTGTTCGTCGTTGAAACTGGGGAATAGATCTAAATTTTCGAAATATAACCACTGCTTTAATGGTGTGAATTTACCAGTTAAAGATTTCAAAGCTTCTTGCGCTACAAAACCACCTAATGCAGCTGTTGTTGAACAAATTTTACCTCGGCAACTATATGATATCTTTTTTATATACTCTTTATCAAATTCCATTGGTGAAATACTATAATTGAAATAATTATTATTTAGAAGCTCTAAAGTTTGTTCTAAAAATTCCTCGAAATCATTTTGGTCATATTCTTTTGGTAACTCTCCATTATGTTTCTCTTTAAATAATTCTAATGATTGTCTGATAATGTGCAATTTTTTTGGATCTTTTAAAAAATCAAAATCAATAATATCTGGGTTGACAATTGATTCTTTTAATGATTTCTAATTTAAATATATATTAGTATGAAAATTATTTTAAAGGTGTATATGAGTTTCTATTATAAAAACTTACGAAATTTAATTTGTTTGTAGTTTTAATTTGGGCTACAATACCACCTCTTTGATATGGTGAATAGTTTGAAATATTTAAATTGATTGAAAAACTATTGCTATTGACTACCTGAATTTTATGCTTTGTATTGTTGATTTGGTCCAAACCAATAATTTCTTTAAACTCTACCATATCGTTGTCCTCAAAACCATGATGATGACCTTCCATACATGTTACAACAGTCTTTTCTGGGGATTCAGTTGATTTTGAAATATTTGAAATGAAAATCTCTTTAGTTTCTTCACCATTTTTATCAAATACCTTAAATGATTCGCCAAAGTCATTAAAACACCAACTTATTAAACCATGACAATCAGCCATTAAAAAATAGATATTATTTTCTCTGCAAATTTCATTAATTAAAATTTGATCATTTAAATTGCTTTCTGTTAAAATTATACACTTTAGAATTATAATAATAAAAATAATGATTGTTAGTATCTTTTTTAAAAACTATTTAATTAAATATAATTAATATATTTACTTTAAATTGTAAGAAATAATTTTTATTTGTTTTAATTAATTCCGAGAGTGATGACTCTGTAAAGGTATTAACTTTAACGTATGGGTTTAGCTCTTGAAGATTTGTATGTGATGCAACAGCTCTATTCTCTTTACCAATTTGATTATGGCTTAAATAAAATTGTGATGATAAATCATACTTGGAAACTAATTTACAATCGTGTAAAGTAATTGATTTGATACCAGCTAGAATTAAATTTTTTGCTATTTCTACACCCAAGCCACCAATACCACTAATAAATATGTCACCCTTTGATAATTTTGACATTGCGAAATCACCCAATACATATCTTTGTCTGCTATATAATGAGTCATCCAAATTATTATCTCTGAATGATAATATATTTTCTTCAACTTCTTCAATTTCTATATCCATCATTATTTATACATATATATATATGTGCACTATTATTATACACAACAAAAATAAAAAAATTGTGCAATAAAAAAAAATGTAAAAAATTAATGTATTTTAATAATTAAAAAAAAAATATTTAAAAAATTTAAATAAAATTTTTTTTTTTTTTGAAAGCTGGATTTTTTTTGGAATGTGGGGCAATTTTAATCAAAGAAAAAAAAATAATAGAAGCAATAATATATTAGAAAAATATTATTATTTATAAATTATGTTTTTTTTGGATTATTATTACCCATTTTAGAATTTTATTTTTTTTATTTTTTATTGATTTAAATTTTAAAAAAAAAAAAATAAAAGTTTGAGATTGATTGTTTGATTGTTTGGTTGTTTAAATAAATAAATTTTTAATCATCTTTTTTTCTTTTTTTTTTTAAACCTTGTGAAGAGGAAGCTGTGGTTGTGGTTGTGGTGGTTGTAGTGGTTGTGGTGGTTGCGTGTAATGATGGCATTGAAGAGGATCTATTTCCTATGGCCGTGTTAATGGCATTGAGATTATTGAATTCTATTATATCTTTAACTAAGGATGTATCATCTATAATATTAAAAGCTTGAGAAAAATTGAAAAAGTATTTTGATCTTTGATTTTCAACTTCACAATTGATTACAGTAGAGTTGTTAGTGCTTAAAACGATGAAGGGTAAAAATATTTTATTCTTTAGTGAGACATCTTTCTTTTGCTCTAATATATAGTTTCTATTGTGTAAATTTTGATAGTCATTCTCTTGTTGTGTTAATTCCTGTAGCTGTCTCTTTTTTGCTTGAATTCTTTCTTTAACATCTTCTAATTGTTTCGCGATGGAAGGTTGTCTGTTTGGTTGTAAAGAATGTTGGCTGTAATCACCACCTGCAGTTTGTTGGCTGTAATCACCATTTGCAGTTTGTTGACTGTAGTCACTTTGTGACTCTTGTGAATTGATTGGTTGTGTAGATTGCTGTGAGGTTTGTTGCTCTTCAATTGGTTGTGTTAGTGACTCTGATGTTTGTTGTTGGTAATTATCAACATTATTATTATTATTATTATTATTATTATTATTATTATTATTATTATTGTTATTGTTATTGTTATTTGATTTACTTGGGAAATTTTTTGGGAGGCCTAACCAACTAATCTTTTGTTTATCTTTTTGAATTATATTCATCGCTTGGAATACATTTAGTACATCATAAATTCTTCTTTTAATTGTATTTGTTTTAAAACTTGCATCACCCTCATAAGTTCCCAATCTTCTATTTTCCTCGATAAATTCACTTAACAATTCGTTTGACACCTATATTAATAAAAAAAATAAAAATAAAATTCGTTAGTAATTATTATAAATTATAGAGTCTACATAATAATAAAAAGAAACATACTTCTATATAGGTTGTTGTTTTTTTAGATTGAACTTTTTGACAAACCTTATAGCTTAAATATCTTAGACCTTTTGACTTTTCATCCTTTGCATTTTTATTATTATCTGCCTCATTTTCTTGATCACTATCATCTGCTGTATTTATGGCTTCTCTATTATTATTATTATTATTATTATTATTATTATTATTATTATTATTATTATTATTATTATTATTGTTATTAATTACATTATTACTAAAGTTATTATTGTTATTATTATTTACATTATTGTTAAAGATTTCATTATTAAAAGGTGTTGTGGTATTGTTTGTATTAGCCATTGATTGTTGTGGTCCAGGCGAAGTAGGTATTGCTCCATTAAAATTTGCATGTGTAATACTATTTAATTGTGAATAGAAATAATCTGGATGTATATCTTCATAATGAGCACTATTTTGAACTAATTGTTGTGATTGATTAAACATTATAGTAGTAGGTGACACTGGTATAGGTTGAATAGGTGATTGAGGTAAAGTTATTGGTATATTTAAACCATTACTATTGTGTTGTTGCAGTTGCTTGGGGTCGCTTTGTGATCTAGTTTTTAATCCAGTCAAAAGATTATTAACAAATGTAGAGTTATTAAAATCATCGGATTGGTTCAGTTTTGATGGTGTGCCTGTATTATTATTATTATTATTATTATTATTATTATTATTATTATTATTATTATTTTTACTAACAATATTAATTATTCTTGGTGATTGTATTGGAGATTCATTATCTTGATCTAAAACTTCGCTTTTAATATTACTATTCATTTTATTTTATGTAATATTTATTTATGAAGTTTTAAATTATATATTTTTTTTTTTTTTTAATAATTTTACAATTTTATAATTGTCATTAGTCAATTATTTAACTTTTAAATATGGAATTTATTTTGGGTGAACTTATAATGATTTTAGCTTTATAAAAAAAAAAATTATATACAAAACGATAATAAATAAAAAGAAAATAAAATAAAAAAATTAAAAAAAATTAAAAAATTTATTTTTTTAAATTTTTTTTTCTTTTTTTTTTTTTTAATAAATACTAAATTGTGTTATGATTAACTAAAATAATAACAATCTTATTTTTTCTTTTTTTGTTTTGAAGAGTAGTAACTATATAATATAAAACAATATTTTATAATTTACTTATAATATGTTATATATTAAAATTAACAATAATACTAATTTGCAAAAAAAAAAAAAAAAATAAAACATGCACCCCCACATACTAAATGAAAAACAACAATAAACTCACTCTATGCTTCCTCATGGACACACGGCAAAAAAAAAATTTTTAAATATTAAAAAATGATTTTAAAGTTCACACAACAGTAATAATTATTACAGATAATAATAAAATACAAATATAAATACAAATTATACTATTATTTTATTTTTTATTTATTTTTAATTTAATTTAATTTTATTTTATTTTTTATTTTTTATGTCTGTTCATTGTTGAGATAACAAATATGTCGAGTATGTATTATATTATTATTATTATATTTTTTATTCACTATCAGAAATAATATTATTATAAATAAAAAATAAAATAATTTTCAAATAATCTAATAATTTAATTTATTTTGAAAATATTTTTTTTTTTTTGAAAATTAATTTATACATTTAAATTATTATTTTTTTACATTTTAAAATTCTAATTTGTACAAATAAATAATACTATAATAATAATATAATAAATAATATACTAATTATACTAATAATAAAACTAATTAATAATATCATAGTAAATATTAATCTTTATTTTTTTTTATAAAAAGTAATGTCAAACGAATATTTAGTTGATGGAGTTTGTGAAAAATATCCATTAATAGAGAACCATGGTTTCATTGGTAATATGTTAACATCAGCACTTATATCAATTCATGCAGCAGTTAATTTTTTGTGTTGGCCCCATTTTGATTCACCAGCTATTTTTTGTTCATTATTAGATGCAAAAAAAGGTGGCTTTTGGAGGATCACTCCCGACTCAATGAAGACTCATTGCCAAAAGATTAAAACCAAGCAAAGCTATTGGCCAGATACAAATGTTTTACAAACTAGATTCCATATGGAAGAGTCAGTAGTCTCCATTGTAGATTATATGCCTGTGGTTGAAAACAAAGGTTTAAAATGGCTGGTTAGAAAAGTTAAAGGTATCAGAGGTCAGTTAGAAATGAAGATGGTATTCAAGCCATCTTTTAATTTCGCTCGTGACAAGCATCAATTAAAAAAGACAGAGTATGGTTATAATATACAATCTGGAAGCTTAAATTTAGATTTAATTTCAAAATCTCCATTGGTTGTGGTCGATAATGAATACGGTGGTCAAATTGAATCTTCATTTCTAATCAAAGAGAATGATATTGTTGTATTCATTATGAAAGAGACTTTTGATTCTATCGAAATTATCCCAAAGCATCTTTATAGATTACCAGAAGACACCGAAAAGTTAGAGAACGAAGCTTTCATTTCAACTATATTCTATTGGCAAAAATGGTTAGAAAAGTGTACATACAAAGGTAGATGGCGTGAAATTGTCGAGCGTAGTGCATTGGCACTAAAACTTATGACATTCGAACCAACTGGAGCTATAATAGCCTCACCAACTTGCTCTCTACCCGAAGGAATTGGTGGTCAAAGAAATTGGGACTATCGTTATTGCTGGCTACGTGATTGTTCATTCTCTGTGTATGGTCTTATTAGAATTGGCTTTACTGAAGAGGCTCATAATTTTATGAGATTCCTCGAACAAAGATGTGCTGATGCAGTTTATGATGATCCCAATAGAATGCCTTTAAGAATAATGTATAGCATCCATGGTGAATCAAACATCCCAGAAATAGAGCTAAACCACCTCAGCGGCTACAGAGATAGCAAACCAGTTCGTATTGGCAATGATGCTGTAAATCAAGTTCAAATGGATATTTTTGGCGAACTTATGGATTCAATTTATCTCTCGAATAAATATGGCTCTTTAGTATCCTATGACTTTTGGTTGCATATTAGAAATATGATAGATTGGGTTGCAGAAAACTATCATTGGAAAGACGAAGGTATTTGGGAAGTTAGAAGTGGTAAGCAACATTTTGTATACTCTAAAATTATGTGTTGGGTGGCATTGGATAGAGGTTTAAGACTAGCTGATCGTAGGTCGTTCCCAGCACCCAGAGAGAAATGGACCAAAGCAAGAGACACCCTTTACGAGGAAATTCAACAAAAGGGTTATGATAAAGAAATGCACTCTTTTACTCAATATTATGGTGGTAAATCATTGGATGCATCCACACTAATCATGTCATTAGTATTCTTTATGGCACCATCAGATCCAAGAAATATCAATACTCTCAAGGCGATTTTAAAACCACCAGAAGAAGGAGGGTTGGTTGCAAATTCTTTGGTATTCCGTTACAATTTACAACATGCTCAAGATGGTTTGGATGGAGAAGAAGGAACTTTTAATATTTGTACATTTTGGTTAATTGAAGGTTTAACTAGAGCAGGTAAATACAACAAAGAGTTTTTAGTAAAAGCAAGATTAATATTTGATGAAATGTTAGGTTATGCAAATCATTTAGGTTTATTCTCTGAAGAACTTGGTATTGGTGGTGAGTCATTAGGGAATTTTCCACAAGCTTTTACTCATCTATCATTAATTAGTGCCGCATTTAATTTGGATAGAGTTTTATCAGGTAAAAGTAATACAAATGCATAAAAACTATCAGTATACTAAAAACAAATAAATAAATGAAAAATAAAGTATAAAAATATAATAATTCTAAAAAAAATTTGTTTATATTTTAATTTAATTATTTGTTTTTATTATAAATACTTTATTTGATTTATGTTTGATGAACTATTGAGTCTGAAGATTTTATCATTGGAGAGTATTTTTTACCATTATTGTCAATATTTATATTTTGGTTGTTATTGAATGAAAATTGAATTTCCTCTATATCATTTTGAGCATGACCATGTGATGGTATAATAAGCCTTAAACATAGAGCAGATGCAACTAAAGAGGCAATTGAACCAGTAACTAAAGAGTATACAACATTTCCTTTGAATAGATCTATAATAAAGCTGATTCCAAGAGATACAAGCATTTGAGGAACAACAATAAATATATTTAAAGTGCCTATATGGAGACCACTACTTTCATTATCCTGGACACCCATACCAACAATTGAAAAAGGAAGAATCATTACTACAGCCCATGGTATTCCTGTTGCAGCAATTAAAAGGATTGAGCCTATTTTATCGTGTATTGCCAAAAACAATGCAAAAAATATGCACTGTAAAATATTTCCAAATATATATATCTTTTTTATTCCAACAAATCTTATTAATATTGGAATTAATAATGAAATACCTATAGTTACACCCGAACTAATAGTTAAACCTAAAGAACCCCATCTTACCCCTTCTTGGAACTTTGTTCTTTCTGGAGACCCCTCTGGTGCATTTGGATTTCCACCATACACATTTACACCAACCCATGTTGTTACAAATAGTATAAAAGAAAACCAACCGATCCAAGAGAAAAACTGAACACTGCATAAACGTTTCATATAAGAAGGCATATTAATAAAACCCTTAAGCATTTGTTTTAAAGGATTCTCTGAAGACTTATCATCATTAACACGGACATATCTTTCTTCAACAACAAAAACCAGTGTCATTGTTACACATATTAATAGTACTAAAATTGACAATGTAAATAAAGCTCTTGTATCTGTCTTCATAAAAGGAACAACTTTAACCAAATTAATTGATCCCATCATATACCCTAAAAGATTTCCGATACCCAACATTAGTGAAAATAATGAGCTGCCTAAACTTTGTTGAGATGGAGCTGCTACATCAACTAATAATGCTCTACAGGGTGCTTGAACTGCATTATTTGATAAATCTAAAATCCAAAACCCGATTATCTAAATAAATTTAAATATTAATATTGAAGAAATAATATGGGGATGTTTAAAAAACCAAATATTTTTACTTACAGCAACTGCAATTGCAAAAGATTTTTGACCCTCTGAATCACCCACCCACGTTCCAATTGATTCAGCATTTGAAATTAATATTAATCCAACAGAAATAAAAATTGAACCAATTAAAATGAAAGGTTTTCTTCTACCAAATTTTGACTCTGATCTATCTGTTAAAACCCCTACCAAAGGTTGAACAATTAACCCAGAGATAGGACCAGCTAACCAAATATATGATACCACATTTTGTGATACTCCTAATTCTAAAAACAATGGTGTACTAAATGCAATTTGAAGAGCCCCTAAAAAAATCGAAAAATTAATTAAAATTTTTAATAATTTGATACAAAATAAAAGATATTATTAATTAAGACTTACAACCAAACTGAACACCTAGAAATGAAATAGTTAAACATATTAACCTAAACAATGGTAATTGCTTTTTATGACCGACATTCATTAATTGTTCTCCATCAACTTGTAAACTACCATTTATGATTGGGGTGCTCTCATTTGTACCGCTATTTATACCACTGCTATTTGTTGATAGACTATTTTGAATATTGATACTACTGTTATTACTACTATTTAAACTATAACAATTTTGTGGTAAAACTATACCATAACCACTACTTCCAATACTTTGATTGCTATTATTTATACTATTAATATTGATATTATTTAAACCACTATTAATACTACTTTCATTACTATTTTCGCTATAGCCATCACTATTATCAATATTTCCATTATTATCAATTTTTTTAATGTTATTATTTATATCATCTTGTTGTATACTATCTATTTTTTCTTTAATATATTTATCTATTGGGTCATTATCATAATACTCTTCATTTTTTTCTTTTATTTCGTTCTCTTCTTCCTCTTTACTTAAATTATTATATTGTTTTTTATTACTTTTATTTTTATTTTTCATTATTACTATTTATGATTTAAATCTATTGGGATATATTTGTAATAAATAACAATTATTGCATATACATATATATAAAAAAAAAGTTTAATTACTTCATTTATAAAATCAACAATATTATATTAATTATTTATTTTATTATTTTAATTTTTATTTTTATTTTTATTTTTTTATAAATAATATTAATTTATTATAATATATAAATTAATTTTGATTATTAAATAATGTTTTTTTTTTTTTTTGTGTTTTAAGGGGGGGGGGGTTTGAAAAAATTTAAAAAAAAATTTATAAAAGGAAAAAAAAATAAAAATAAAAAATTAAATTTTTTTTCCAGATTCCTTAAAAAAAAATTTTAATTAAAAAAATTAAAAAAATAAATTTTTTTTTTTTTTTTTTTTTTTTTTTTTTTTTCATTTATTTATTTTTTCAGTAAACAAATAACCCAATTTATTCAAACTCTTTTTTTAATAATTTTTTAAAAATGGTATAAATAATTTTTTTCCATTTATTTATATATTCCCAACAAATATATAAAAAATATTTATAAAAATGAAATTTTTTTTTTAATTTTTTTTTTTTTTTTTTTTTTTTTTTTTCATTTTTTTTTTAAATTTAAAATCATTTTCATTTAAAAACGATAAAAAATGATTAAAATTACACATTCATTTTGTGTTAATTTATTAAATAATAGCAAACAACTCCCAAAAAATATCTATATTAATAAAACTATTTCGACAAATAAAAATGAAATAATTATAAAATCATTTTATTCAACAGCAAAATCAAATAAATTAAAAACAGAAATTAATAACAATAAAATAATTAATGATGATTTTGTTTCTCCACAATCTAAAGATAAAATTCAAGAATTATTAAAATTATTCCCACCAATCAAATATGGATTTGCCTATGGTTCAGGTGTAGTTATACAAAAGGGATATAATGAAAGTAATATCACAACCCCAAAAGATATAAACAATAATAACAATAACAGTAACAACAATAACCACAACGACGACAATAATAACAATAAAAATAATAATGATGATGATATTAATAATAAAAATGATACAATGATTGATTTAATTTTTGCAGTAGAAAATTCATCAAATTGGCACCAACTTAATCTTATAAAAAATGATTCACACTATTCATTTTTAAAAGTTTTTGGTGGTTGGGCAATTTCAAAATATCAAAAGTATGGCGCCAAAATATATTATAATACTTTATTGGAGCATAATGGAATTGTAAGTATTAAAAAACTACTGTAAAAAAAAAATAAATATTTATATTAATATTTTTTTTTTATAAAATTCAAGAAATTCAAGTATGGTGTTATTGAATATAGAGATTTAGTTGACGATTTAAAAAATTGGAGATCACTATATGTTTCAGGAAGAATGCAGAAACCTATATATAATTTACCACAATCAAGTGAAGAAGGATTAAATGAGATTACAAAGATTAACGAAGAATCAAATCTAAGAAATGCAGTTATAGCATCAATTTTACAATTACCAGAAACATTTCAGAATATGAATTATATCATAGAATTTGTTCAATTTCTTACAGAGGCGATATTAGATGGTTGGGAGGTGAAAATCCAAATAAAATTCATAATATTATTATCAACAATATGAATGGTTTTAGAAAATTATATATGCCAGTAATAGAAAAACACCTATCAGACTTTATACAAATCTACAATAGTGAAACCAACGAAACTAAAAATGCACACGAATTTAAAGAAATTTTAGAATCAATAAACAATGACCCTTCCAAATTACTCCAATTCAAATCATCCATCACTCCACACAACCAAATAAACTTAATTATGATGTTACCAAAGAAAGTCAGCTCGCAACTATTAAAAACCATTCGTAAAAATATAATACAAAAGAAAACAAATGAGACTGTTCAAACTGACGTCCATTTGGATAAATCATTAAAGAAAATCGTTAGATACAGCAGTTTTATTCAAACTTTAAGAGGTGTTCTCACTGCAGGCATTTTAAAATCATTAAACTATACCAGATTAAAATTAATTTCATCAAAAAAGAAATAAACTAAATAAAGATCGATCGATAGATAAATTATAACACAACAAACATAATATAAAGTTTATATTTTAAATAAAATTTAAATTTTATTAATTTTTATTTGTTTTTTTATTTTACCATTTTTCATCAACGAATTTTGGAATTGGGAAATATTTGACTGATGAATTAGTTTTAGTTGAATCGAATAATTCGAAAACAAGTGAGGTAACTCTCTTCTTTTCAAAGTCTATATGAGCAAAGACTTCAACACTGAAATCGCTGTTTGAGGCAGAGTAGTGACTGATTTTATATTTAGATTCCTTGTTTTTGGAGGCTTGATAGACGGCTTCGTGTAAAGATACTTCACTGATGTAGTGTTGGCTACTTGAGAAATTAGATGAATATACTAAAATATTTTTATTATCGTTGGTGCTCTTGGTAAGTTGAACCCAACCACGATTGGTAGTTTTAAGATTATCGACAGTTTGGAAGAAAACAATTGGTTTATCGACTCTTGCTTGACGAGTTTTTAAAATTGGGAAAACTGGGTCTTCAGTCTTGTTCTTGTATAAGAGTGGAATGGTGGTAACTTTTTGCTTGTCATCAGTGACATGAACTTTAATATTTAATACATTTGGAAGTGAGTGATGTGAACGGTAACGTCTTTCTGAATTATCACCTTTGATTTCGACACGAGTATTGAATGAAAGCTTAATAGTGTCTCTTGGGTCTAATGGAATAATGATGTTACTTGAATCAGTTCTCCAATTATAGTCATAGTTTGAATTGCTTCTTTTGGTGCCAAAGAGAGCGGACATTGGTTTCCATTCACCGGCTATATCTTGATACTCTGCAGAGATTTTAGAAAGGGTGATTCTATCTGGATCGTTGTTGGTGATTTGGAAATCGGTGTAGAATGAATTCCAGAAAACACCATTGTTTGAATATTGGCTCATTTCTGCACGAGTGATATCGGTTTGTTCGAAACGAATATTTGATGGTCCAGTGACTACAGCATGATTGGAGGCATCGGTACCATTACCACCATCAGTAACATAATAATCTATATCATAATCTTGATAACTTTTACCAGTTCTAACCTCATCTTGTGGGGTAACTGTTGAATCCTCAGTGTATGGTGCATATGCATTTTGGATAGTTTTAATTTCACCAGCTTCGATCTTGTTTCCACTAACTAAAATATTGATAGATTGAATTTGTGGGATTGGTGCTGATTCAGTTGAAATTTCGGCTCTAACTGTTTTAACAACACCACCCTCAACAACAAAGAATACCTTTGCTACATTACCTTTACCATCTTCCCAATGAGTAACAACATGGTCACCATCTTTATGGAATGCTCTTAAATCACTTGAATCGAATAACTCTAATCTATATAATTTATTATATAAACCAATTGAAACAAATAACTTATTTAATGTATTTAAACCAATATTAACTCTTAATTTGTTATCTTGTTCGAAATTTTCTAAAGCAAATAAAACAAATGATTTATTGCATAATCTAAAAACCAATAAATATATTAGAACCAATTATTATAAATATTATTATAATTATATAAAGATACTTACTTGAATTGTTCGTTTTTCCATGATTCGAAATCAACAACAACCAATGTTTCATTGTCAACGATGGCTTCTTCAATTAAATAATGTGGTGAGATAATAAAACCATCAATTGTTTTTAACTCTGAAACAATAAATTCTTCTAATGAATATGAAGCAAATTTTGATGCAATATCTCTAAAGAGATCTGAAACTTTAACATTATTTTTGCCTGTTGGTAAAATAAATTTATGTTCTTTCCAAAGTACTTTGACTCTCATTTTTATTTATTATTATTATTATTTACAAAGTTTTATATACAAAATTTACAAAATAAACAAATAGACAAATAATAAATTTTTTTTAATTATTTGTTGTTAAAAGAAAAAAAAAAAAACAGAGATTGTTTAATAAACCAAAAAAAAATCTAAATTTATTTTCTTTTTTTTTTAAAGATTTTTTTTTTTTTAAAAATTAAAAAAAAAAATAAGAAAAAAAAAATAAAAGAATTTAATTTTCAATATTATTACAATTCCAACCGCCGCAAAAAAAAAAAAAATTATTGTAATTAAATATTTGAGAAATAATTTGTAATGGAAATAAAAAAGTATAAAATAATGGGGAAATTGAAAAAAAAAAATAGAAATATTTTAGATAAAGAATTTAGAAAGTGGACATATCTGTGTTTTTATAATTGTTCGAAAATTGGGTTATAAAAATGATTTAATTTTTTTTATTTTTATTTTTTTTTAATCCAGACATAATACAATTCAAGAAATTTTTTTCTTTTTTCTTTTTTAAAACTAAAATTCTTGATTTTTTTTTGAACTATTATAATTATTTTCTGATTTTTATTATAAATGGGGGAATTTTTTTTTCTAAATTATTAATCAATTTTATAAATATCTTCACCTTAGTAATCATCTTCATCATCTTCATCATCTTCATCATATTCATCATCATCATTGTCACTTTGACTTTCTTCTTTTGGTATTAAATCTGTTAATAAATCTGCATATATAATTGTGTTTTGAAATGCTCCTACCAAATCCTCTTTTGAATAATGTATTGTTATTGTTCTTTTATTTTCCTCTCTGTGGTTTATCATTGTCATAAAACCATTTGATGTACAGCAATCCAAAGAGGCTTTAAAATCTTTTCTATTAATTTATAAAATTAAAGTATATGTTATAAATATGATTGTTATAAAAATTATTTTCATTAAAAAAACTTACTTTTCGAGTGGATTAAATTGTATTATGTCACAGTTTAATCTGTAAGAGTCATATAACTATAAAATTAAAAAAAATGAAGGTTAATATTTAATTTTGTAAAGAATAGTGATATTTGATAGTTACAGTTAAAAAGTTTAATTCTTTTAAGTTAAATGCTGAAAATAAAATAACTATTGAATGAGCAGGAAAATGTTTTAGCGTTTTGGTAGTTTGATTTTCAAACATTGAATACATAACATCCATAACGTTATCAATTGTGAAAATAAATTGATTGCTATTATCTTGACTGCACATAAAGTCTTCTGTGGGTATTGGAGTTGGAATTTCCATTTCTTCAATCGAAATGTTATTTAAAATAAAACTTTGATATTTTTTTGTTGTTAGACTTCTCATAACCTCGAATGATTTTCTAATATCGGAATTGCTATTTGAAATTTGTTTGGCTATTAATTCTAGTGATTCATCTTCGAATATTATTGCTCTTTGTTCCTCTGTTAAATCCAACATATTATATACATTCTCTAAACGACCCTTTAAAATACTTAAAATTTGATCTTCTCTGTATGGTTTAAAATGTAGCACTTCAATCTCAATTCCCTTCTGTGATAGGCCAGATAGTGATTTATCTACCAAATTTAAATCATTTGCAATTCCAAATAATAGTAATGTTGAGTCTTTTAAAAATGGTAATTCAAATAAACTATTTAAAATTGCTGGGTTTTTTACAACTATATCTATTTCATCCAATATTAAAATTCTATAATGATAATGAATTAGTTTATCAATGAATAATAATAAAATTATTAATAATAAAAAATATATGAATAATACATACATTTTTCTATTATAATTTGGTATAAGGTTTTTAATTAATTGCAATGATTCATTTTCATTCTTTTTTGTATTGAGCAGATTTTTAATGCTTTTATAAATTTCAGAGTATATTTTTTTAATATCGATTGTATAGCAATTTATATATACAGTTTTATATTTCTGGAATAAAAAAATAAAATAAAATTAGTATTTTTTGTATTATAGGTGGTCCAACTATGCAAAGTTCAATAATTACATCTCTTGGTAATGTTTTCGATAATGTTAAAAGGGTTAAACTTTTTCCAGTGCCCGGTTGGCCACATATATATAATGCATTGCCTGTTCCACTTTTATAATTTTTTCTTATGAATGCATTTAACCTTTTATACTCAATTCCTCTACCCGGTACTTGATAGTCATCTTTATCATATATCAAATCTGATGCCTCTAAATTTTCTTTAAATGTGAAACTATTACCAATCAGTTCTAATAATTGATTCATTTAAATTTATTATTATAATTATTATTATTTTTAAAAATAGATATATACAGGTAATTATAAAAATAATTATTTATAAGATGTGAATAATTTTTTTTTTTATTTATTGCAAAAAAAATTTTGAATATTAAACGACAAAAAGTAAAAATTAAAAAAATAAAATAAAAAAAAATTAATTTTTTTTTTTGGAATTTTTTAAAAATTTAAATTTAAATTTTCATGTTTTTTTAAAACGGTAAAATTTTATTAATTAACATACACACATATAAACAAATAAATAAAAATGAATAATGATATCGATAATATTATAGATAATTTAAATAATTTAGATATAAACGAATTAAAAGAAAAATACAAATTACTAGAAAAAGTTAATAAAGAATTAAATGAAAAAATTTATAAAATAGAGAATGATCATGCTCAACAAATTAAATTAAAAAATAAAGAATTATACAATTTACAATGTCAATTTGAATTTTACAAACAAAAATTTCAAAACATGGAATATATTATTTTAAGTGATGATGATGATGATGAAGAAGATAATAATAATATAGATAATAATAATATAGATAATAATAATAATAATATAGACAATAATAATAATAGTATTGATAATATTGATAATATAGATAGTAGTGATAGTAGTGATAGTATTGATAGTATTGATAATATTGATAATATAGATAATATAGATAATATAGATAATTTAGATAATTTAGATAATAATAACAATAACAATAGTAATATTCAAATAATACCTCCTATTGTTACCAATTCACAATCACCACCTTCTTCATCACAAAAAACTCGACGTAAATGTGTGAATCATACTCTATTGTTTTCCATAGATAGTGGTTCAGTTTTAATAGATAAAAAAGATGTTCATTTAAAAAAATCAATTCGCTTTTATAAAAGTTATATGTTAATCCATGGTAAAGATGATAAATTAAGAATAGTTATCCCATACAAGTATATTGATCAAATGGAAATCCTTAAAGATATAAATACCTTCAGTTTTTCATTTTTCACTGTTGGTAGTAGTTTAAAGTTTCCTCCATGTCACTACGAAATCCAGTCAATTAAATTAATATTTTTGGAAAAATTAAAGGAATTAATTAATTTTGTCAATGTTAATTATGTAGAGGTTTCAAAACATAATAACGAACAACAACTTAATAATAATACACACACAAACAATAGCAGTAATCACTCAACAAACTACAACTATAATGTTAAAATTGAAGGATATGGCAAACTTAAAGAAGATGTTGTTTATAATAAAGAGCTTGATATATATGAAACCAAAAAAAAGAATGATCAGGAGGTTATAGACTTGGAACACAGCAGTGATGAAACAGAAGAAGTAGATAACACATTTAACTTTAAAGAAATCAATTCAATAGATTATAAAGTTAAAAAAGAAGGATACAATTAATTTTTTTAATAATAAACAATTTTAAATAAATAATTCAAATAAAAATGTTAATTTTAAATCAAAACCCAAAAAAGTAAATCATAATTAATAAAAGTAAAAACAAAACAAAATCACCACCCTCACTTATAACAAATAACCAAAATCAAAACACACCCATACACACACCCCTGTACACACACAAAGATATATTTATAAAACATGACACAAAAAATATAAAAGCACACAATAAAAGAAAATAGTAAACTAAAAATAAATCATAAATTTATTTTTACAAAAAACAAAACAAAAAATATTGATTAAGTTATTATAATAAGATCCACTCCACAAATAGAAAATGTTTAATTTTGAGGGATTATAAATAAATAAATGTAAATCGAGTTAATTTAATTTTAATCTAATCGTAATAAAATTAATTCGCACTCTTTTAATTTTTTTTTATTTTTTTTTTTTTTTAAAAAAAAATATTTTATTCATTTTAT